AGAAAAAAATTAATGAAACTCTTTGCAAAAGCATAAAGTTTCGGTTTATTAAAAACTTTAAAAAGACATGGCCACTTGGCGACGAATTTGGAGGATGCTTATTATTTTTCTTTCCCGGTAAAAGGCTGTGGGACCTTTTTTTTATAAAACCAGCCTGCATTAATTATAATTTCATAAAAGTTTAGGTACAATCTTTTTTATTTAAGAACTGTTTTTTGTGATGCAAAAATTATATTATTATTCTGTGGCAAAGGATTTCTTTAAAAACTTTTGCAGAATTTAAAATTTTGGTGAAGCCTTATAATATATAATGCCGTACTCTTTAATTAATTTTAAACCCTATCTTTGTAAAATTTTAAACCCTTTAAATGTCTACGAGCTATGGTATACCAAAAATAAGTTCCAAAATTTTACCGTGCGGAATATATTTAATATTAAACCCGTGGATATTATTCCCCTGGTTTATGCCATTACTTTATACATAACACGGGAACCCTTTTAGTTGCACTCCCCTGGCCAATATTGTATGGCTTATAATCATTGTTAACTTGGATCTTTCTTATAAGTAAGTGAGTATAAGTAACCATATCAAAAGTAAGAATGTCAATTATTTATATCTTTGTTCTCAATTCCGATGAATAGAAAATCTTGAATGCAATCTATAAACTTAATGTTTGGTTAACCTAATAAGTAACGTAATGGGATAAATACCATAATGGGATTAGTCACAAATTACATCAATAACGAAATAAGTAAATGATTTTTCGTATATAGTCATTGTATATGATTATATTGACCTCATTTGATAGAACCAAAAAAGGTTTAGGGTAAGGTAACGTAAGGTTAACAAACTAAACGAGATTGTATTTGATACTTACGATTTACTTACTGAAACTTTTTCTCAATAGAATAGTCTAGATATCAATAACAAAGAACATAAAACCGACGTAACCCATTACTTTCATTTTCTTTGTACGTATTCTCAGTAAATACAATATTATAAAGCTAATGGAATATCCTTTGTTATACAAATGATGGACATAAAGGTCCTTTTATCCTTTCGGTAATTATAAAGATAAGAATATAATATAATGATATAATAATCCCCGTATTGGCGAATTTAATTGGTACCTACTAGGTATACATACGTAAGCTTACGTGCTGAAAAGCCTTACTATGTAGTAAAAGCAATTTGTAATAAGAAGGATGTACAATTTAAGACTCGAAAGTAGATCATAGACAAAATATTCTTAAAAAAATCCAGCTGTGAAAGATTAATGATTACAAAATTAACATTAATATCAGTAGGTATATTCATGTGAGTAACCCGCGAATTTAGTTATTTTAGTACGTCTCACGATATAGTTATTATAAAAATATTAATGTTAAGGCCCAATGCAATATAATACATATTTAATTTAGGGATTAAAAACAGTTACAGTTTCCCTAGGACACAGTGAAGTACATTGAAGCTACGTAATCTCATCATCCATTACTGTTTAAGCAACGATGGCGGACTGATGTCGCCGTTACAAAACAATGGTGGAACAAACCTGATACTTGTTAGTTCAATAATAAGCCTGAGGTTGACGGAGCGTGATGCGTGCACGCAGCGCCGGCGATTAGCCGTACTAGTCTAATGATGCGTGGCAATCTGTGATGGGTCCTGCGTGCCTCCAGGATATCAATCATGGCACGGCAAAAAAATACTGTGAGTAATCGAAGATATTGGAGCCTTGCCTTGACTATGTTTTTAAAACCAAAAAACCTTTATTTGGCAATTCATTCAACTATAAACGATCTCGATTTTGAACCTATTCTATCCAATTTCCACGGCAGGCATTAATTCGTTGTTGTAACTATTCTTAAGAATATTCCTAAGTTAATTTGGATGTTATTCTTTGATCCTTTGTTACGATTTATTTTGAAATTTAAAAACATAGTTTTAAATAGACTACTATGTACGGGCGTAAAGACATAAACATTTAAATTCTAAGCATATAAAGGTCACGCACTAAAGGTACCGGTGCATGAAGGGACACTCATTCGTCTTTTCCCTGAAACCACATAAACATTTTATTTTCACATATCCTGAACAATATCACTGTCCGCAAATAATTGTGGGGCCGGTCACGGACGTGGGGGTAACAGAGGTCCGACCGTACGTAATCTTAATAAAGGGATAGGTCCCCTGTGTCCATACAAACTAATAGGGCGTCCTTGCTCGGGGTCCGTGGAGAAGGGCAACGATCCATAAGTTGCAGGAATACAGTCGCATTCCGAAACCCTTAATGTAACAGCTGTAACAAATGGCATTCCTCGGAAAAACTGAAACTGACTGATAAACGTGCCTTTCAAAAATGTATAGTGAAAAAGCGGGCATGCACAGTGCAGTTTATCTTTTGTCTTGCCCTAAGCAATACTTAGATTTCTTAAATAAATTTATTGATTTTATAAACTGTTGGTTAACAGAACCAAAGCGTCAGCGTGCGTTTTGTAAGAAGAAATATTTCCAAACCCATTGTATAGATTACGGTCTTATCACTTTTCGTCCCATTCATACACCAAATTTTCTTTGTTCCAAAGCCCTGCCACCTCACGTAGAGTTTACATTTACACGTGCTTTTCACCGGTAACAAAGGTAGAAGTCGTTGACACTCATTCATTAGCGTTATCCCCGTGTTATCAAGTTATCAGACAAACAAGTCGTTTCATCACGTTGATAAGCCGCGTCCCGTCCTGTGATGCTGTAAGGCGAGAAGGGAGCTGCCTCGAGATAATGTGACGACACGTGTGCCTGTGCAAACATTAGCCTAACTGTAATTTAAAGCTGTGGCCTCTGCGGTTAGGTAAACGTAGTACCTTACATGATGCATGGTCTTACTACGCAGTACTGTGATGCACAGCTGCACATACCTAACACAAGTACAATGTGGTAAGAACATTCTAAAATTTTCTAAGTATTGCAAGAAGCGGAAAAGTTTGCGGAGGCTGTGTTATGTGTCTGTATCCTACTGAATACGGAGCTAATAAACATAACATACTTTATACATCTAATTACCTGCGCTTCTGAAGAGGAGGTGTATGTAGGTACTAACCGCAGATCCGTGATGATACATTATATTATATACAAGTAGGCAGGTAGACAACTAACCTACATGCATGAATAATTATCTAGTTTATTTTTCTTGGCATTTTTCCAACCATATTGGGCTCAGTAAGCTGGTACGTGGGCAAATAATTATAATAATATGTACTAGGTACATATATGGCAATATTGTTTTAATTGTGAGTATTATTGTACTGATTTAATTGAACTTTATTTTGGGATTAAAATAGACAATAACTGCATGAATGTGTTTCATACTACGGTTTAAATACGCATCGCCATCTATCGTGGCGTAGGTAACTAAAACCAAATGTGAAAAGCGGGAACTGAAACACAATAATTTGTGATATCTTAATAACTAAACGTCCTTTTTTATTTGTAAGTAGAGCATGAAGACCCATTTAGAAATGATAATGTCGTCTTTTGTTTTAATGAACAGCAGAACAGCTCTCTATTATAATATGTAGTTGCGTGTGCGATAGTTTTCTCCGTAACAAGCATTTAGTCCTTATTAGACAACAAGGGAAGTATGAAAATAGTCACGCGGAGTGACATGGTGTCATGAGGCGCGACGATGCGCCTCGGTCTGTCACGCGACTGCTCTTCCGTCCCTTCGTATCTAATGCACGGCAGCCATCGTTACTTGCAAACAACACAGAGAAAGTTTCGCACCGCAATTAGATTGATTAGATGGCGTTCAAGGAAACATTTAATAGTTGAGGAAGAGCACGAGAAAACTTCATGCTGTGTCATGAAATATTGATGAGCATTCTCTTTACTTAGCTTGAAGCAAATGGACAAAAGTAAAAAAGTAAATACGAAACTGTTTGCCCTATTAGGTATCGAATACCTAGACATAGTTGAACAGTCTCTACCTCTGAAATAAAAATGAGATTTGAAATGAAATTTTTAAGTTACATTAATCTAACCTACTTAAATTATTATTTTAATTTTTATTCCTATTTTTATAAACTAGCAGCGAGCCTAACGAAAACATAGAACCTCGCGAGGGACGCTACTATTTATTTAACCAATGAGACAGTCTGAGCGGTTTCATTTCAAATTCTGTATTAAGCCAATGAATACCTAAATACCGACTTCATAAGTCCTATTTCAGATCGATTAGTCTGTCTTTTGAGTACTATATTAACTTTAGCACATAATACCTGCCTATATTCAATTTACCATAACTAAAAAGCACCTACCTAACCAAAAAGCATATCTATAAACGATGAGATATGACGTTTAATCGTACTTAGACGAATTAATAATAAAATTACTGCGTAGCTAAACTCATCTCCATCAGAACTCTAACATCTTTCATTGATCTTTCCATCTTTTAACTATGCAAACATTTTAAAAAGAATTATCTATCATACTATTTGAAAACCAATAACCAAATTATGTAGAAGAGAACAAAAAATGTCTTACGGAACCATTAACGCCATCTGTCAGATTTCTTCCGTAACATTTTACTTCATTCTTTACTACAGTTGTATAACCTTCGATGATTGCGTTAAGGTTACATAGATGGCGTCAGTAGCCATATTTAAATAAAAATACTTCATTTAATAGAATTATAATGTACAAAAGTAATATTATACTTTAATTTAGATTATTATTATACAACAAACGAGACAAGAAATAAAGAACTACTTTCCAGATAAGGTATTCCGAACAAAACAATATGTGAACTTTGTACATTTTGTAGCCCGCATTCTACATACGCATACGCATTCTACATACGCAGGTGAGACCCATTTAAATTCGTGCATTATGTAACAGTATAACTAATTTCTACATAAATACTAGCCAAGCCAAGCCAGCATACTTGCTGGCTTTAATCTTTCGTACTTATGATTAGGGTTTAATTTCCTATTCGCGAAGAACTTCAGGGGTAATCCTTGTCATCAGCCTCGAAGTGGACGCCCAATTGTTTTCGCACAGTGTCTTCAAGGACTGCTAAGTTGATGCTTTCCTGATGTGTCATACGAGGAGATTCGATAAGTCCTGGAAAATGTATTTCATTAGATAATACTAAATGTTATAACATCATGAATAGATGTGGCACTTACAAAGGAAATGTAACTATAACTACCTCTACAGATCAAAAAGCATACGTTATCTATCCTAAAAATGATCCGTACCAAAGTCCTTGAGTACAGCTCACTCGCGTGGCGTGAAAGAAAGACAAACAAACACATAAATTGTGTTTATAATACAAGAATTTGTTACTCATTAGGTAGGTAACTAAGTAAGTAGAATTGCTAAGTAGCAATTCTTACCGATATATGGGACATTGATAAAAAGTAGGTGCCATTACAGTCACAATACGGTCTTCACAACAGGTAAGAAATCACTACGTGATTAATTATTAGATATTTAATGAGATTTTGATGAAGTAAAGGTCTTATCTTTAATGCTAACTACATTCCATTGTGTGCATGACATACCTACGTGCTTTCACGGTGCATATATGAATTATCCAAGTTATTTTTGATATTATTAATTCATTATTCACCCGTGAATTTGTTTCTCGTTACTACGTTTAATTAATTAAGTCGTACCGTTCTTATTACCTACCTGCACATAAAATGCATATAAGTACGTTAACCAATATAAATACGCCATAGAAGAATAAGTTTACGAATCGCTAAGATAAGAGTATCAATAAGTCCTAGGCAATAGGCATATCAAATAATCACCAGCAAGCATTTTGTGATAGTTTTAATGGATAGCTAAATGCTGTATTGTGTACGATACGAGTGAAATAATTTAATAGATACCTACCTGTAGCTGGGAACTGTATGATTGTATCCGTTTAGTTTAGATCAGTATTGGGAAAATACTATGAATATATACTTTTTTTAAGGGGGGACAATCATCGAATGACTACTCCTGCCAGGGTGAGGCGGGAGGGAGTATCAGACTCTTACTGACTAAAAACCACCTCGTTACTACTTTTGCACTTCGAACCGTAGCCCCGATAACCCGTTAGGTTCTCCGCGGATAGATACATTACTAACGTGTTTTATTATGGCAAAGCCTACAAATTAAAGGATTAAACTTATGGTCGGCCAAAATTTTTGTTTATCGACTCTTATGATTATAGTGTTTGATCCATGCGTTTAATGTTTATCATTTATGCGTTAATGCTCACGATAAGAGGTCAATAAACAGGGTAGGTAATACCTTTATGAGGTTATGCAATATACGTCAGATAAAAACATAGGTAAACTAGATTACCTACACATACTTAGTCATGATTAGGTCAAAATATAATGGTAAAAACATCGATGACACCTTACATTATAAACTTGTGGGATGTTGGATTTATGCTAAATATTTTAGTTCACCCTAAATCAAACATGTCTAAATGCATTATTTCTACCCTAATGAACAGTTCTAGGCAGTAATTCCCCTTTGTATAGGCATAAGCATAGTTTTATTTAAGTACAATAAATGTTAATAAAGAGTGTTTAATATTTTTTTGAAAATAGCGTATAAGTTACAATGGTGTTGACATATCCATGTGGATAAGAACCCCTTACTAAATAAAGGAGAAAAAAAACCCTTACATTATGTATGTAAGGTGTCATCGATGTCATAGGATGTTGTTATCAACATGATTCGTGACTTTGGTAATTACGCGTATCTATTTGTATTAAGTAGATATCTGTTTTATGATATCGCTACATTCATCGCCATATTACCTTATGTAAAAGATTTGAAGACACAATTTGTATCCATGTTAAATAATTTATCGATTTGATTTTAGAGGCCCAGGATCAAGGACAGCGTGAACAGTCGAAGTAGCCCAGTTTTCGTAGGATTTACTTCAGTGAATGTGTACCTATGAGATAGGTACACTATGAAACTGCAGCTAATTTCGTTGTAAATAAATGGATAATGAACGAAAACGAAATCAGTCCTATTCCTAAATTTCATTCTAGTCAATAGATTCTGTAACCATTTCTGCCATGTAACAGGTAACTGAATCCAGCATCCTACTTCAAGCAGATTCACATTTATAACAGCTTTTAAAAACACTTTGTTATAATATAAAATTGTAAAGTCAGTTAAGTTACCTGTTCTAATGCATCTCGCAACTTCAAGAGCCTGGTAGACCAATCCGGGACTATTTGTGAAGTTGTACGGTAGGTTCGAAGAATGTAATTCATAATTCTTAATTTTGCCATCTTTATCAATCACTTTGTGAGGAAAATGGAAGGGCTGCTCCAACTGAAATGAAAATATATAAAAACATACGTATTGGCAACCACAGAAATACTAGGTTTCGTTTTTTAAGATATTGGAGTGACAATAATGAGTCTGAACATATTGAACACCTCCGTAACTAAAAAGGGTAGATGTACAGTTCCTAAATCTTACTAATATTAGGTACCTAATTATTTATGTAAATGATCAATTCTCTTCTTACCGTAACATGTCCCTTTGTGCCGTAAATAGTTGCTTTATTCCACATCTCCAGTTGAGTATGAATATTGAGCACAGCTCGCCTGCCACCTTCATATTCTAGGATGATAGTCTCTGTTAAATCCACTCCGGAGTCGTAGAGGCTACCGACTGTTGTCACCTTCTTTGGTTCTTCCTTCCATACAAACTGTGGCAGTTGGAGTACATACACGCCAACATCCAACATAGCGCCTCCTCCGAATTCTTTTATACTGCAATTGTGACGTCATTATGTTAGTATAATTACTCACATATGAAATATGTAATGATGGTATATCTTTGATGGGTGAAGTAATAGTGGTAGCACTGCCCATATAACAAAACGTGGTGGTTGTAGTAAACAAAACGTGACGAATTGATTCCAATTAGCCGTTATTTATTTTGTAAACGTTTCCATTGTTCAGTCTCATGTGAAAGTACTTTGTAAAGTAAATTATTTTATAATAATCTTTTGTAAATATACGCAGATTGGTGACATAAAGAGTTAGTTTATAACCTCATGACGTTACGTAATTATACAACTAGACAGTGATTGATTCGTTACTTTATACTGAATGGAAATATTTTAACAAAGGCGTCAAGTCATAAAGAAGTTAACAATGTCAATTATTATGTATATGTATGGCAAATGTGAAAATTTGCGTACAGCTAAGTGATTACATAAGGCATACTATTGTGAAATTGTTTTGTTACATTGGCTGATTGAATTAAACGGCATAGTGAATGCGAATAGCTGGTTATGAACCTACAATTCTATGACATAGTATCATACTTGGATTTCCCTTTCCCCAAGGGGTATTCTGAGGTTAAATATGTAGGCATCTGTGGCTAATTGTCCTCAGTTTCATCATCTTGGGACTCAGATCCTGTCCAATGTATCAGTATAACTCATACTTTGTCTAACTCCATAATAAAGCCTATACGAGATCTAACCATACGTTATAAATTTTGGTTGAATATAGGCAAATAGGTATGTAAGTAGAAATGTCAGCAGGGGTCACGCGCATGCTACTTGCACTTAAGTGTATACCTAACGGTTTATTGCGTAGTGAATTATAATTTAAACACTGCGCAGGTACCTAAATGACTAATAGATACTTAAAAAAGACGTCTGACGACCTAATTATGCATGTTCCAATTTCACCACTTACTGTGTACTCCTATCGTTTGGGCTGACAATTCCAAAATCAGCTTCAATGAACAAGACATCGCCAAGTTTTCCATTCTGGATGTCCCTCTCTAAGTCTGCATATGCTGGAGAGAATCGGGTCCATACAGCTTCCATCACAAACAGGTTGTTTTTCCTCGCAAAGTTGATAACACTGCGCGTTTGTTTGGCATTCAGACAGAATGGTTTCTCACAGAGCACGTGCTTGCCATGTTGGAGGAACAGCATTGACAGTTCATAGTGTTCTGAATTCAGTGAACCGATGTAGGCGACATCTGGAAAAAACAGACCTTTTGTATCCAAAAGACCATTTAGTTCCTAATAATCACTTACTGCGATACTCAGAGACATTGAATGATTAGGTATTTAAACGTAACGATTTTGTTCCGAAAACAACCCAGTAATCCGTTAGGTTCTCCGCGACGTGTATGTATAGACTAAGAACTCAATAGGCCCAATAAAGATTTATAAACGTCTAGCCCGGATGTCGTTCATTGCGCTGAGCTAAATGCTAACGTTCCGGTCCAAGTTCAAACCAATCCATGCTTTATATTTTAGAACGAAGAGTTCATTTATTTCTTCTTTCAAGCTTAAACTACATACCAATATCCTTGCTCTTAGCCATATCCTCGTAAGAATCGAAAACTTTTGGAATTTTGTGTGTTTTCGAAAATTCCCTGGCTCTGTTCTTATTCCTAGCAGCCACTGCCACTATCTCCTGGTTGTCCTTGTTAGGATACGAGTTGAAGGCGTTGACAAAATCATGGCTGATCCTTCCAGCTGTCACAATACCCCACCTGAGTGTCATCTGTGAGAGAGTAAACAAGTTCTTAAATCTCTATACATAGTGCATTAATCTTATAATAATAGATGAGATAAGTATGTAACATAAATGAAAGTTTCAAGGTGTTCTATTGTTTGATTGTTTACCGTTAAAATCTCCTTTAAACTTATTATCAGTTGAAATACCTATTATTTGAATACTTTAAGATTTCTCCTCAAGTAATGAAACACTTAGTACCTACTCAGCGAATGCTAGCTTAGATGTATTACTTAGGTATTACATTTCGGAACCCTATTTCGCATTTGACGCAAGGCTGAGACTTCTTACAATGTGTGAATAAATAAAAACTGCTCAAGTTATCTAGTGGTAGGGTAAACCACCCAATCATTGGCACTCCACCAATTTATTGGCATGCTCTAGTTTTTTAAGAAAATTAAGATCTATTTGTAGCCAGACTAAAATTTTTTAGTAGAAATTAAACAGTAGTATCATTTATTACTCAACTGGCAACACACGTTTTATTTTTTTTCAAACATGGCGGCGCATTTACCATCTGTTTGACAAGCCGCGACCTGTGCGACAAAAACAATCAAAATATTCGTTTTTTACTAAGGTAAGAGCTATCATAATCTTTTAAAACTTGAAAATCTATTTTGTTTTTCTTATACATAATCATTTTGTCTTATTATTGAATATATTAACTGCCTTTTTAAAACATTATTTTATCATTTAACCGCCAACTTTTAGTTATTTGTGGGGTGACAACATTTGGTATGCGTAATATTGGTTTATCCATTTTATTGGCATACATGCCAATAAAAGGGCATTTTAAATAATTTGAGTTTATTAAAATTATACCTTGTTTTTCTCAAAATTGAGTTTAAATTAAATTAAAAATATTTTCTAACGTTTTGGATACACCAATCCAAAAGTTGCCCCCCTGCCAATTATATAAAATCCATTTATTGGCACGGGTGCCAAACATTGGGTAAAAACGTGCCAATAAAATAAAATATTGTCTTTTCAGCCACTTTCAAAATGAAGCCTAGTCAGAAGAAGTCTAGAGAAAAAAATAGTAAAAATGTTTGAAACGGAAAATTTATACAGAAGAGAACCTACAAAAAGCTCTCCACGAAATATCAAAAGGCATGAGCAAAAAACTTGCTGCAAAAACCTTCAGCGTACCACGGTCTACTGTACAATTCAGACTGAAAAATCCTGATCATCGCTCTAAGCCCGGTCCTCCCACAATTTTAACTGACGAAGAAGAACAGCTTTTTGTTGACTGGATAAAAATCAGTAGCAAAAAAGGGTTTCCGAAGAGGAAAGAAGATTTGATAAAGAGTGTTTCAGACTTTATTAATAAATCGGGGAGACAGTAGTAGTTTTAGGAATGGTGACAAGTGGTTTAAATTGTTTTTAGCTAGACATCCAACAGTTACATTTCGAACACCAGAAGCCGTAACAGCTGCCAGCTCCACGGTCTCTGCATCTGATGTAAGAGGCTGGTTTGAACAAATAAGGATTTACATGACTGAAAATAGCTACTATGACATCTTATCAGATCCATCAAGAGTATTCAATGGCGATGAAACAAATTTTGTTCTATGTCCAAAAACAGGTATTGTTTTAAGCTCTAAGGGAGAAAAAACGTATACGAAATTGACCACGCCCAAGCTAAAACTTCACTAACCGTCATGTTTACTTTTGGTGCAGATGGTCAAGTTACTCCGCCAATGGTAATTTTTCCATATAAAAGATTACCTGGCGAGATAACTTCTAAGATTCCTGAAGATTGGGGCGTGGGCTTAAGTGACAACGGATGGATGAATTCCGATGTATTTTGAGTATATCAAAAAGTTTTACATCCTCACCTCATAAAAACTGGCACACAATTTCCTGTAGTTCTTTTTGTAGATGGCCACAAATCGCACTTGACGTATGCTACCAGTGAATTATGTACTAATTTAGGTATAATTCTCATAGCGTTATATCCTAACTGCACTAGACTCCTTCAACCTGCAGACGTCGCCGCATTTAAACCATTAAAAACACAATGGCAGAAAACTGTCCTAGAATGGCGAAGAAATAATCCATCTCAAGCGTTAACGAAAACTCAATTTGTGCCATTACTTAAAGATACTATAGAAAAAAGTCTAACAACAATTATAAATGGCTTTAGAGCAACTGGACTTTGTCCTTTTAATGAAGATGCAGTGGACTATTCCAAGTGCCTAGGAACTTCAAATAAAAATAACATTACCATAGCGCAACCCAAGCATGTAACAGACAATCGGGTGCTCACGAAAGATGACTTTACGAAGTTGTTGGGAGAAAGTACAATACATAAAATTGATAAAAGAGAATTGAGGCCGAGGAGTCAAGTGAATGTTTATTGAAAATCTGGAATTTCTTTACCACGTTTCAAAATGATTTGCATAATAGCTCAAAATTAGACACAGAGCGTCAGAATGACAATATAGGGAATTTTGATGTGAAAATATGGAGATAATTATCAATAACTCTCCAAATAAAAATGTTGCTGAGCAAAGTTTCGATTTTGTTTCGCAAGATGTTGTTGTTGAGGAAATAGTCCAATGCTCTGAATTAATTATTTATACAAGATATATCAACCCTTCAAGAACGTATTCCAGAAACAGTTAGCCAACAATCACACAATCATCTTTCTCCCACTCAACAAGCATTCAATCAACCAGAATCCATAGAGCAAGTATCCTCTCAAAAAAGCCTCTACTTCCTTACAGCATGCTTCGATCTTACAGCCATCACTCACTTACGTACCAAACAACAAACAACCATCCACACAGCAAACATTTGTTCAACAAACATCTATCTACCAAGCATCCGTTAGCAGTCAGCAGCAATCATCAATATATTCAACTCCCCAAAAACCGTCTATCAGAGTAACTGGAGATGTCAAAATAAGTGCAGATCAAAATAATTTTATGCAACTGAAAGCACCACTGGTTAAGGAAGACAATACTATAGTAAAATTACAAGATATTTTGGTACTTCCTAAAACGCCACAAAGAAAAGGGATAAAAAATACCAAGAAGACGCCTTTTGTACTAACATCTGCCGAATGGAAAGCTCAGGAAAATGAAAAAATTAAAATTAAAGAAGAGAAAGCAGAAGGTGTTAAAAGAGAAAAGAAGAAGAGAACAAAAGAAATTGGAAAAAGAGAAGAAAATGGTAAAGAAAAACAAAAAACAAACTAAAGCCAAAGACAATGTGTCCAAAATTTTGTTTTCGGAAGATTTCTATAAACTTGACAATGACAAATTGGAAGCTTTACCTAAAAATTTTAACAAAGAAAACCAAAAAGCAAGTACTAGCAAAAATTACAGTGCTGCTGAGATAGAAAAAATGTTGACTGAGACTGATTCAGATGATTAACGTTACTTAAGAATTACTTACTTGTATGATCTCAACCAATTAGAGCTGTGATTTAATTAAATATAATTAAGGAAGTTACATAGTCTTAAGCTAAAATTGTTCTATTTTTTGTTCAAGCCTAGTAGAAGGTTTTTTTTGGTTTTGTTTTAATACTTTATGTAAAGTTGATTTAACTATAAGCGTTTCAATTGATATGGTATGTTCCTATACAAATAAATGTTACTTTTCTTAACAAAGGATTTTATTTTGTTTATTTCTATTATGAATTATCTTAAAATAGGTACATAGACGATGTAAAATACGTTTTAAAACCCCTACATAAGACCTAGCAGCTATTTTTCAGTTTTGGGAGAACAGTGACAATAATAGGTAATAATCACTGCCAATAAAAGGTTTGGCTATGCCAGCAACTGGTGTTTGAGGCATTTTTTTTAAAAGTACATTATATTAAAGAAAACGATATAATTTATTAATGACAAGTACTTTATAATATTCTGCAGAGATTAGAAGACCAATATGAATGCTTTTGTCTTTGTTAAAACATATTTTTATATGAAAATTTTACCGGTTTTGTGAAGAAGCTGCTTAAAGTGCCAATAATTGGGTGGTTTACCCTATCTATTTTGATAAAGCAGATGTATGTATCTATAGTACGAAAATAATGTTATTGTACTAACCTTAGCACAGTAGCCAGATAGACGTATTCACTACACAACAACTGATACATGTATGAAAGTCAAAGTTATTGAATTTTATGAGGTGATAGGCCATTTGAATTATCAACACTACTATACTATATTTGTGTTTATCTGCACCCACCTTAAATAAAAGAAGATACTAGAAGCATCATATCAACCATGACTCTTCAATATTTTTACTTATATCTTTTTTGTTATAGCCACGGGAAATCCAAGAAAAAAAGAATAAACGCATCAATGCACACAAAATTTAACCTAGATAGGTACATGTTACATAATAGGTTCGTCAGGCAATCAAGTTATACCTTTTTCAATTGCAAAAGTAAATAAAACAGCTGTCTGGTTGAGAAACAAGAAGTTGCTCCCAAAAATTAACCTGAATTACGATCATCTGGTTTTTCTTACTTCATTTTGACTTGATGATTAAAAATACTGTATTCTGATGGCCTCTGGCAAAGGACAAACTGTAATTGGCAGATCCACATTTGACCAGTTAATCAGTTTTAAGCAAAAAAAAACATTCGAGCGCAATCAACGCGGCTTGAACTCTTCTTATCGAATTAAGATAACAGAATAAAAACTCTTTCAAGTTTCTCATAGATATGTAAATTGTAAGTATCGTATGGAACCCCTTTGGTAATTTGATTCTAGTTAAGTACATTCCTGTTTTTATTTTTACTCGGTTTCCTGTGAGTATTACGTTTCTATTACAACAAACAAGGGGAGGATGTTGGGTGTCTGATGTCCTGCTAAAGAACCTTTGACCCTAACGTTATCATCCAATACTCAAACCAGGGGCTGATGGAATACCGACATGACATGTAATGTGATGCACCCGTGAAATATGAGAAAATCCGAATAGGTACCTACCTACCTTATTACCTTACCTACTAAATAAGTTACGATTAAAAAGAACATGATGTACGGAACTCTAGGAAAATGTCCTCGTCTCTATAATTTTTTTGCTAATAATAACAAATGTGACCTATAGACGACGCAACTGATTGTGATGTCAGTCACCCCCGCCTAGTTTAGCAGATATTACATCGATAGCCACCACATGTACGTGACTATAGGTACCTATACTCTAATCGCTTGAGAGCAAGGTCGCCTTATCGTTTTTTAACGCTGATAACACGATCTTTGCCATGACTATTCATATTTTATCATTTTTCACAGAATTATGTCATTCGTGATTTAATGTAGAAGAAAGTCACTATTCCGAGTCTAAATGGTTTGTATGAAATCAGGAATAATTGCAGAAATGAGACCATACCCTGTCATAAATCTTCATCAACTGTTTATGCATATTTTAGGGACCAAAAATTTTTTAAGAATTGCGATAATTGAGAGGCGATAGAAGTCATTGGATGATTTCTCCCGTCTTCAGAGATCTATCCACGGTGAAGAGAAAGTAAGTAGAAACAAAACTAATTTTCCTATATACCTTGGAACGACTTATTAATTCTAAAGCAGTACGAAGTTCATCGTAGTTGAAATAAATTACTCATACAGAATTTGACCTCCGCGCTGTTAATTTCGCAAAGAACTGCGTCGTCTCCAACCAACATCAGATTAAATTACTTTTTGTGAACTCAATAACAGCATATATTCATTACAATACGTACACCATCATGTAAGTACATAAACTTACAACTTCAGTAGAAATAATCACAGATTACGTAATACTATCTTCGTGTTCCATAGTAAAGATCGCCTACTAGCCTACTTCATATTCAGCCTTTCAATATGGTACAACCGTAATTAAAATCATCATTGATTTTCATTAAAACGTTTAATTAAACTTAAAACCTATTAAATAAACATTTAACACTGCATAATATAGTATCAAATAGGGACATAGGGATCTTTAACTAGTAAGGAATCATACGAGCACCACGGTTTATAGACGGACGATTACAAGAGTGTGTTCGTTGTTTCTCGGATAGCATTCAAGGATATTCTTCATCATCTGCATCATAGTGAACACCCAGCTGGCTTCTAACAGTGTCCATTAATTTGGCTAGTACAAGACTCTCCTTGTGCGACATTCGGGGTGACTCGATCAATCCTGCAAAAGACACAATTTGTTTAATGTATAATGGTCCAAGTCCTAAAACTTTTTCAAGTTTTGTCAGTTACAAGTCTGTGGTGGGAATAGTAAGTGACAACATACCAGCTCTAATGCACCTGGCGACTTCAAGAGCCTGATAGACGAGACCAGCGCTGTTTCCATAGACGTACGGCAACTTAGAAGTGTGTAACGGGTACGTTCTCAGTGAACCATCAACGTGTGTTACTTTATCAGGAAAGTGGAACGGATCCTCGATCTGTGTAAGACAATAGTACTTGTTAGTTACATTTATCATCACTTTATGTCATAGAAGTGCACTTACGAACTTGGCTGAAATAGTATCTGTATTTTTATAAAAGATCTCAATTTCACATTTCTTACCGTAATACGACCCTTCGTTCCATAAATCGTAGCGTTGTTCTTGAGAACTAAACCGGACTGAGTATTGAGCACAGCTCGCCTGCCATTTCCATAATCCAAAATGATAGTCTCGCTTCATCCACCCCCTCGTCATTGAGTTTACCAACAGCGGTTACATTCTTTGGTTCTTCTTTGAAAACATATTGAGACAGTTGCAATAAGTAAATACCGATATCAAGCACAGTACTACCGCCATATTCCTTTTTCCTGAAAATAAGTATGATAGGTAGTGAAGATTCCTAGAAGTACCTAAGACAACTTTTGAATTGAAGGACATTATTACAAACACTTACAAAACTCTATCGCTTTCACAGTAAATTCCGAAATTACCCTCGATAAATCTAATTTCACCAAGAGCACCGGCCTCAATCTCTTTCCAACATCAATGTAAGCCGGGGAGAAACGAGTCCAAACAGCTTCCATGATGAACAAATTCTTGTTGCGCGCGAGGTTTATCACGCTCTGAGTTTGTTTCGCATTCAGACAGAAAGGTTTCTCACAAAGAACATGTTTTCCATTTTCAAGGAACATCTTGCAGAGTCCATAATGGTCATTATTCAAAGCGCCGATGTAGACAACATCTAGAATAATTCAAATTAATTGATTGTTTAATCACTTAATTACAACGAATTGGGACAAGTTTATCAAGTTTTGTAGTCGCTTGTCATGGCGTTAACTCCAGATAAAAAATCACGTTGATAAATGACAAGCGTTTATTTTATATGAAACGACCAGTCACTTCCTCACCTATATCGCTGCTGTTAGCTAATGCCTGGTATGAATCAAACACTTTGGCAATACTGTGAAGTTTCGCGAACTCCTCAGCCCTGTCCTTGTTCCTGGCTGCCACTGCGACTATCTCCTGGTCGCCCTTCTCAGGATACGAGTTAAACGCATTGACGAAGTCATTGCTGATCTTGCCAGCTGTTACAATTCCCCAGCGTAGAGTCATCTGCAATAATGGTAGGTAGATAATTTGTTTGGCTGGCAGTTTTACTGCTTTCTAACATTGTATTTATTAGATAAAACTCGCTAATTTGAATCCGAACACTTTCTGATAAGCAAATTCTTCTTAATGGCTATTGTAATTTAGAGTTAATGAGGAGATGGTTTAGTTTTGTTTATCGAAAATAATAAACATGAAATAACATTATTGGCATTGTGTAGGCGAGCCATGCTTCGGCACGAATGGGCCGGCTCGACCGGAGTAGCACGGCCTCACAGAAAACCAACGTGAAACAACACTTGCATTGTATTTCGTCGTATGAATGGGGTTACCGGAGGCCCAATTACCCCCCTCCCCAATCCCTGAATCCCCAACAATCTTCAAATTTCTAATCCCCAGATGGCATGTAATGCCCTCTAGTGTTTCGGGTGTCCATGGGCGGCACAAATTGCTTACCATCAGGTAATTCACCAGCTCGTTTACGACTTATTATAAAAAAAAATTGTTTTTATTAAAATTCTCAATTTAGTAGGTAAGTACTTAAGTAGGTAGGTAAGTATATACTTAATATTTATTTAAAGTAAGTATTTAAAGTTACTCTAAAAAGCCACCGACACCAACGCCTTCTTCCAAACAAGTTCAACTTTCATGTAAAGATTCGGTTTCCTGCCACTATTTAAGGAAAATGTAAGTGCGTTTTGGAGAAAGCAACAGTACCTACTTACCTTCAATACAATAAGTACAGCGAGTAAATCAATGTTTACAAAATCTTAAATTTAAAGTATTGACTTTCAATTACATTCAGAATTACGTTCCTACTCAAAGTTTATTTAATAAAAATAAAGAAATAAAAATAAAAACTCACCTTTCCCGAGCAGAGGCTAACAAATGATTGATAAACTGAAAAAGCAGTTCAGCAGTTGAATGATTATCATTAGATAAACTAAAACACAAAAATATTTTTGTGTTTATCTAGAACAAGGTGATAAGGGGTCGTAATAATAATTCTCGTGGCTGAAGTCAAATACCTTGATTGTGTAATTAGCTCTGAAGTCGAAATTATTTAGATAGGAAATGATTTTCATTTCGTCGTTTGAATTAGACGTCATATCAAAACGTGATAATAACAATGAATCGGCTACTACGATGCGCAGTCAGCAAATTTTTGCCAAGTTTATCGTGTGTTGGATGTAAAAGGCTCCTTTACCAGTTTAAATTAGGCTGTACGATAGAGTGGTTGGGAAACCGACTACTAAGCATTTAAGCAACATGTTGCCACAAATTGTTATTCTGGATTCGATAGAACGAGTTAGCAGTCTGGGAGTAGGAGATAAGGCAGTGATGGGAAGAACGGAAAAAATTGGGAGGGAATATTAAATCCAGAGCTACACACAGTTATTACGCAGATACATACAAATAAATACCTAGGTAGTCCCGGTTTAGACCAGCAACTAGGTACGGTTCTGTTCTTGTCGGTGATCGGTGATTTTAAATACTTGCACGTTTCAATTAAGTCCGATTATAAGACAATCAGTAGATAATAACGTGCGGCCTCAAGTTAGAAAATTTGTATCTATAGATACAGAGTTGAAGGAGTTATTAGCTCGTTCCTGGACAGGATGTGAATTGCAATGTTTGTGTCGGCCAGGAAACGCAGTCGCGACACTACGACATCCGGACATCGCGACACCAGCCACGACACTTTGCTTTAAATCCTCTCAATAGCATTCCTTATTTCTTTAATTACAATTGTGTAGTTTCTTCAAAAATATTAAGTACCTACAACGTCTTAGTTCACGATCTCTAGCAAAATTCATAGAATCGTTTTTGATTGAATCTGACTTACTAACTCACTACCTCACTCTAACTAGCCAATTGATAGGTAAGCGTTGTTCAACTATCATTGCGAGTGCCGTATGTCCTAAGTTCGACTAGTTCTTGGACTATAATCTACTCGAACTTTTCAAGACACGAATGACTCGAGTTGTTCATCTCTCAACATTCCTTTTTAACCCTAGAAAGATAATCTTATTTTGACCTACGGTAAAGATAATCATACGTCTTTGAGACGTATTCGCATTTATAAGTGCATATGGGACAAGTTTCTATAAACCGCCTTTTAAAAAGTTATTAAATCATTAGTTTAAAGTTTTCTACGACAAATAAAAACATAATTACAATAAGAAAATGAATATAATTTAAAAATATAACGAAATTTTGTAAGCCTCTTACAAAATAAATTAAAAATATTAAGTCTTCCTTTGTTGAATAATTGTGTGAATATTAAGTTTAATTTCACAGTTTTTTTTACTTAATATTATGGAATAAGAACTAATTAAGAGCTTCTTATAAAAAAATAACAAGTTTTAAGTGTTAATCACATTTAGATACAGCCTTTACATATATCAGTTTTTTGTTAACCACAAATGCTTTCATTACATTTACAACATATCATTATCATAAAATAAGAAGGATGTCCCTTCTTATTTTTGACGGACAATACGCACATTAACTCTTCTTTTTGTTTCCTGGTTCTTCATTATCATCTAAAGTATTAATTCTAGGTAGCAACTTGGATATTTACACGGCCATGTCTTTTAAGAGTAGGAGCTTCTGATCTTTTCTCCATCCAAGGTGACATAAGTTCAGCGTTGGTCCATTGCACTATTTCATTATAATCTCATCAGTTATAAATAATTGAGAGCCTAAAGCAGGCAAATAAATATTTTTACACGTGCGAATAGGCTTTCTAGAAGTTCGTACTATGTTTATATTTATAGTTCTTCTTCTATTTTGACCATTAATTGCAATGTTTGTTTCTCCCGCGCAGTATACGTTGAGTTGGAATAATAATCGTCACAAAAATTTGAAGTTGAATCTTGGTTTAGTAAACATGACAGAGATGATGGTACCTGCAATTCTTCCGATGTTGACCCAGCAACTTCGTCAACCAATTCGTTCACTGTTCAATCAACTGACCAATCTCATCTTCACTGTTCTCCAATATTTTTACAATTTGGTTATAATCAAGGGCCCTGCGTCCAGTCATTGCAATAGATTCCCAAAATCACCTAACATATTAAAAAACGATAAATAAAACGAACTATTACTACAGGGAATGAGGTTCAAAAGTTACACAAAGGATAATCATACGTCTCTCGAACGTACGCCATACCCGTATCTACGTAAATGTTGTACTTACTAGGGCGACATAACCGTCTCGCGTAAGGTCTGCCCCGCCACTGGGATAACCTAGAAGGACAGAGCGCTACGATGCGAAATAAATAAGATATAGCAATATTTGTGTCGGTCATGCGTCTCAAAGACGTAGATTATCTTTCTAGGGTTAAAAGACCGGCAACGCATCTGACTCCTTTGATGTTGCGGGTGTCCATGGACGGCGCTGATCGCTTACCATCAGGTGATCCAATGTTCATTTGCCTCCTATTCCATAAAAAAAGTAATCTCAAAACGTCTGCCTGCCTTGTTCACAAACTCTTTATAATATGCAGACATAGGTGGTAAGTAATGACTATTACATAAACCGGCCTTCGCGCCACGACGATGTATGGTACAGCCCACATGCGGCCACATTGCTTACGATAACAGATGATAACGTGCGTACTTTTTGCATTATTTTGGTTGTAAACTGAAGTTGCATCCAATAGATTACATATTTTTCTTTTTTATCTTTCTCCTAACTTCCTAACTAAATGCTGTAGAATGCTGATTGGGCAGTTTTAGGAAGCAACTCTCTAATGACTACCCTCCACAAGTTCATAACCCCTTTTCAGTTGAATATCATTAACATCATTCAGTAGGTACTTATAGTACCTATAGACTAATATGATTATGATTCCTATAAACTGTCAAACACCACGAGGACACCGGTGACCGCAACCTATTGGTCTTTAATTGTGTCTATAATGATGACACCAAAGAAGTTAGAAGTGCAATACTGGCCTTTTGGGGGATGGGAGATTAGACGGCTAGTAATCACCAGCCACATAGCTAAACAAACAGGTATTGTTTCATGTTTCTATGAGTCCGTTGTCACTCTAGATCGGTACACTTATAATCTACTTTTATGAATAGAAATAGTCATATCTCTATTACTATTACAACTACGAAGAATAAGTTTATTGTGTATATGATTGATTAATGCAATTTATGCTTTATAACAGTCTTGCCAACAAGTTATCTAACTGTTTACGGGAGGTACATCTTTATAATTAAATAAATAATCAGTATGTGTGCACTATGTACTGATACTGCTAAAGGACAAGGCAACAATGATGTGTATTGAACATTAACATTATAGCTTATGGTAATAATAACTTATTCATTCGGAGCGGAGCTGAGATATCTGGTTAGTGGGTTGTCTCAAGGTAGGGTTTTCAGGAATTGAATTATAATTATGTTTTTTAAGGGGGGGAGGGAAATCAACAAATGACTTTTCACGCCTGGGTGAGGCGGGAGGGAGTGTCCGACTCTTACTGACTAAAAACCACCCCGTTCCTACTTCTGCACTTCGAGCCGGAGCCCCGGTAACCCGTTAAGTTATCCGCAACATATAGGTAATTATGCTTGACTGTTTAATCCCCAAACGGTCACCGGTCTCCGCTCTCCACTAACACCATTATAGACCTTATTTCCAATGTTTAAAGTCTACTAAGTCTAGTTTGTCTGGACAAATTTTGGCTTATCATCATCAACAACTTAAGGGCAATATTAGCAACAAAGAAATCATGAATTTGTCAGATATTTTTTTCAGAATTATGAATTTTTCAGTCGCATTTTGGATTGACCTTAAAACAATGGTAGGTACTAATATAAATATAGAGCGAAAAAAGTACCCATTACTTTTTATCAACTTTTATTTTTATTTGGGTAGGAAAGAACGTTCAAAATATCAATAATGGAAGCAATCAGAATAAAGTTTACCTTGTCAAGTAACAATAACAATACGTATATATCCTATAAGCCTAAAAATGTTATTATAACAACAAAAATAAACTTCTCAAGTGCAAAATGCAATCTCTGTAACTACAAAATGAAGTTTTACTCTAAGAAGTCAATGCAACGTCACTCCCATGGTGTCATTCATAACACATTAGCACAACTGTCAAATCCTATAGGTACAATCCTAAGGTTGCAAAAAGTTGCAAATCGTAACAAGTTTGGAATAACTGTGAATAACGATATAAATAACGGTTATTGCTAAAAAACTTAATAATAATGAATTTACCATCATCTCATAAGAAAATTATGGTGTTCAGGAATATCAGCTAAAATCACCAAACAAGTGTATTTATTAATATTTCTCCTGGTTTTTTTCCTATAGGGATATGAAGAATAAGGACAGTAGTCAGGTAAATACATTATCATTTTATATAGGTAAGTACGTTCTCGTGTCGTGTATCATTTGTGTCTAATATCTTATCATATTATTAACTGTTCTAAAAAGTTGAAAGTGTAACTGTCGTTTCGCTAGTATAGGTAACAATCATTTCGTAAATATTAAAACGTTCAAATTAAAAACATTATCGGTTTGATTTTTTTATTGTCTGTCATATTAATACATAAAAATAGTACCAAAATAATCAGAAGTGAAAATTCTTCAATAAATATCGGTATTTCAATAAATAAAAAAGTAAATATAAGAGGATTATTTCAATAATATTATGTTCTTAGCACATCAGAAAATAAAATAAAATTGTGATAATAAACATTCAAAATAGCACTTTCGAAAACGAATCACAATGAGGTAGGGAATAGTAAGTTCAGTAAAATACTGTCACGACAATATTTCCACAAAGTGTAAACAAATGCACACAATTAACCTTTCTATTGATATGTTAAGTTCAACCAGTAAACCCTATTGTGTGTTGTCAAATAAGATTTATGCATGAAAGTATGTGAAGATTTAATGATTGAATAACATTATGATAATTCACATGTCGAAGCTTAACAAGACTTAAATCTATAACAAAATTGTTAACCCATAAATTATGAGATACAAAATATCACTGCGAATATGCTAGTTATTGAGAATGTCGTATACAAACAAAAGTAAATAAGTAACAAAACAAGAAGTTTCATTTTGGACATCTATGAGACGTAACTACTTATACCTACTTAAAATATAATTTATTGTAAAATGTACCTATCACATAAATACACAATACACAATTAAATATAAATTAATATTCAATAAACACAGTATATAGTAAAATAACGTAATAATGAAAAGTATAATAATTTTTTTTATAGGTACTGCAATCAAACCTGCATCTCATAGACGTCCTGTCTAACAATAGTAAAATACTAATTTAAATAACATATAAACGAATAAGAGATTGTCTGAATTTAAATAAAACTTGCTAATTCATTCAAATGCTACTTTGAATGCGCTGTCCAAATCTGCTAAGAGGTCCTCAACATCCTCTAACCCAACAGAAAGCCTTATCAGTGCATGCGTGATTCCAAGTTCTTCGCGCTGCTTCTCGGGAACTGACGCATGTGTCATCAGCGAACTAAAAGTCAAATAACGATGAATTAGACAAATACTATCTTCACTTAAAGCTTAAAAAAACTAAAGCTACAATTATTAATTTTGTGTAACTTACGGTAATTCCGCAAGACTTTCATATCCCCCCAAACTTTCTGCCAATGTGAATACTTTCAGTGAACTTAGAAACTTTCTTGATTCTTTTAGATCACCAGTATGTTTGAAACTAAAAACTCCAGAATGACCACTCGTTTGTTTTTTGGTGATATCATATTGTTTATGGGAAGGCAAGCCTGAAACCAAAAAAAAATTTGTTAGCGTTTTATCAGATGTATGTATTTACTATACATACGTAGATTAAGAATAATATAATATAAGTCCTGAATAGGTAAGGCAATATTGTTCAACGTACCTGGGTGCATTACTTCGATAACATTTGGATGTGACTCTAACCATTTGGCAACCACTAGTGCAGATTCTTTATGACGCTCCATGCGTAAAGCCAATGTTTTCAAACTTCTGTTGACTAAGTAACTATCAAATGGTGATGGAACAATTCCCATTGCTGAAAAGATATTACAAGAAACCATTATTAAAACGTATAAGAACAAACTCGATGTAGGTATAATCGTAAGTTTGGACTTTGCTCCCCAATAGTAGACTGATTGTTCAATGAGCATAAACAATTTACATTTTATCAATGAGGTCTTAAAATGCGAAACAAGATCTGCATGATAAACTATTATCGTACACGTCTCTTTGTAGGTAGGTATCTTATTTCACGTTGTATTTTCTAGAGTTGAGTAGTTTGTAGAGAAAAAGACGCTAAATATTTTCGATTGAAGAAAATTTTATTCAAATACATTTAATTATCCTTTAGAAAAAATGGGAATTCATTGTGGTGTAAAATAGAAAGACTTCGTTACTGTAATTTCATCACTAGTAAAATGAGTCATGCTAGGCTATACCGGTACGTAAACCGCAAGTCATTGTATACAACTATAATAATAATTGAACTGATAACGTTTCTGTACGTCATCACCTAATACAACTATTACCATGTCATGGTTGATTTGATGATATTTGAGATATTTCCTCATTAATAAAATAGGCAAATAGGCAATTTTTGACTTATTATTAACAAATACCCCTTCTTAAATAATGTAACAGCAATATTACTAAATCAACAGTCATATTGTCGGTTTGGGGCATTGTAGTAACAATTTTTGATGTAAAGGATCATAAATAAAAAGTTACTTACAATTTTGTAAAAATCGAAGTTTATCAGCTATAACTTCATCGTTGACAACCGCTGCTCCCATAACTACATCGGAATGACCATTCATATATTTTGTTAAGGAATATAAAACGATATCCACTCCAAAGTCCAAAGGCTTTTGTAAGTAAGGTGTAAGGAATGTGTTGTCTACAACAACAATAATGTCACCGAGACTCTTTGCTGTTTTGACTGCAGCGGCAATATCAACAACCTTCATGTTCGGGTTTGTCGGTGTTTCTAGCCAAAGCATCTAAAATAAAATCATGTAGATTAGTATTTATTAACTAAGGACATAGATAAGAGATATTAGCCACCATAATAAAGTGCATAACAAGTTTAACACAAAATAATAATGCAATAAATGTTATCGTGTTAAATTGTACCTATTTACGTTGAATTATAACATTTCTGATAAAGATTGTTGTGGTTAAAACATTACGAACATATTTTTAAGTCCAAATGTAATAATATTATGACTTTTCGTCACTTTAGTCTTAACACGCACCATCAGTTTACGATAATGTTTTGACTTTACAAAAGTAATAAAGATTTGTTCTCGACCAGATGAATACCTATAATTATATTCTCAAAAAATAAATTTCTTGGTTCATAAAATAAATGAAATTACTAGTTTGCTGAGATGACAAAAAAAACATTCAAAGCAAAGAGCATTTAACTGACCTTTGTATTTTTTTGAATTGCTTTTTCTAAGTTTCCAGGGACTGTAGTGTCCGTAAAAGTGACGTCGATTCCCATTCTTGTAACAACTTGTCTGGAATTTAAATTAATTTATTAGTTAACTTGAAGCTTTTTAAAAAAAAAATGTTTACGAAACATTGGTAACGTATTTTTTCTTATAAAGTTGTACAAATTAAAGAAATGTGTGTCTAATATTTTGTCCAACTGACGTAGGTACCCAATAGATATTTGACTTTTTATTTTCATACCCTGTCCTCCCTCTGAAAACATTTAATAAATATAGGATGATACTTTACCTTAAAAGACGGTTTGTGCCACCATAGACGTCATCAATTGAAACGATGTGATCGCCTTTACTAAGCAGCATCACAACTGTTGACATTGCGCCAAGACCAGAAGCAAAAGTAAATCCGTGTTTTCCACCATCTAATGCCGCAAGGCATTCTTCTAAAGTATTTCTAGTGGGATTTCCTGATCGCCCATACTCAAAACCCTATGAATAAAAATGTTATTTCTATGAATTGTACTGTATCACAAAACGTGTAAAAATAGTAATTGCCCATGCTAAATACATAGGTACACAATTATTTTAGTTAAGTACCGAGTACATTAATATTTAACTTACCGTGTGTTCAGCCGGAGCCGGTTGTTTGAAAGTAGTGGACATAACAATCGGTGGCACTACGGCCGAACTTTTCCATTTTTCTGGTTCTTGACCGGTATGTATAGCAATCGTGGCAAATCCTGGTTTTTGTTTTAAAAATCCGTTGTGCGCCATCTAATTGATATTTCAGAAGCAATAAATATTAGATACACGTATATATATTAAATACAAAATTGTTAAACTTTTTATTTAATAAATGAATTCATCACAAAAACAAAGTAAATTTTAGGCGAACTATCAGTAAATTATTAATACTTTCTATAAAATGTTTCTACTTAATTAAAAAAACACTAATTGTTTAAATAGTGCTTGTTAAGTGATTGAGAATATTTGAGTATGTAAATTTTAATACATTAACAAATTACAACAGTTCATATTATTTAACAGTAGTTCTTTATTACACATATTCAAAGATATGCCAAAACGATTATAAAAGTCTAAAAATAATTCTCCTAAAAATTGCACGCTAAAATTCAAGGTTAATGAGAATGGTACAAAAATGTGGCAAGATTTCATCAGCACGTATTAAACAAATTTTTATTATTTATTATTTGAAATATGAATTTCCAATAAGAATTGTATCTTACCTTAATTTTTTATTTCAATTGCCGCTTTATTACTTCTTATCTAACCTTTCTACACACCACCACCGACACTTGATTTACAATTCCGAATGAACTGTCTTGTATGTCAAAACGGCTTTTTAATGTACATTTTATACTACCCGACACACGACACTGACAGCACCACCGGCACAATAATATGAATCACTCGCATCACATTGGAATCGATCGAATGAAATGGCTTAGGAAGTATACACACGGTGACTTACAACTACAACACACATGTTTGTATCGTTTAGGTAACCTCTGATTGTCGATGTCGTCTCTTTGTTGTCATGTCATGGCAATGTCATTAATCAACTAAATATTTATTAGATTTATTAAAATGTTAATAGCGCTGTTTTAGCAAAATATTAACGTGCAAAAACCATTTTCCAAACCAGTTATCGTTATTACAATAACGTTAAATAACCGTTATAAAAATAAAATAAAAATGCCATCCATTCAGAAGTAATGTTCTTATAACTCAATCAAATCTCAATAATCAATTATAAATTAAATTGTTATTCCAATAGAAAATTTTATTTTAAAGCTAATGTTGTAGTAAGAAAAGGCAAAAGGTTTGATTATTTTTAGCAGGCAGCCTGGCAGACAGCCTGACAGAATATTATTTCCCGCCAATTTGTAAAAGTAGCTGTCAAATTATGAAGAATTTCCTGCATCCATCGATTCGAGTTGAAAGTTACTTTGTTTACACTTTACAATTCATAAATCTTTGAAATCGTTATATTTAAAGGATTAAAGTAGTGTACATTAACTAAAACAAAATTACTATGAAAATAGATAGCAAACCATTAAGATATGCTCATGCCGAAGGGCATACAGATGTATGTTATTCTGAAGATGGACAGTAAGTAAACATCTTTTATTTCCGATTGTATGCATTCTTCTATTTTCAAAACCAGTTTTACATAGTACAACTTGTTTTGTTCAGGCATATAATAACGTGTGGCAATGACGGTGATGTAAGGATATGGGTGGATATCGAAGATGATGATCCAAACTCACATTGCGTTGGGGAAAGTGCACTGGCAGTGTGTTACAAAGACAAGAGACTTTATGTGGCCACTGATAATCATGCTGTTCAAGCATATACATATCCAGCTTTCGACAAAGATGGAATTGTCACTAGGTTTACTGCACCAGTCACACAAATCAAGTCTTCAAGTAAAATTGAGGTGGTATTCTTTGGTTTTATTATTATTCTTGCTATTCTGTGTGCATTTTTAAGTAATTTTTGTTAATGTTGAAATAGGTTTTGGGATGCACATCCGAGAACATGGAAGCAAAACTTTGCAACTTGGAGGGTGGAGCACCTTTGTTTATCATGACAGAGCATACAGGGCCAGTACTCAGTATTGCTATTTGTCCCCACATGAAATTTTCAAGTACAGCTTGTGGAGATGGAAAACTAAGAATATGGGATATTGATACACAGAAAATTGTTAAAGAGATTTCATGTGTTCCAAAGATAAATACATTTTATGCTGCCAAAGTTTTATGTATGTAACATTAATGTCTTTTATGCTTACTCCTTAAACTTAAACTTATATTATGTTTACAAAGTAATGACAAATTTTGTAAAAAATAGTTTCCTGTATTGCAAGTACTAAATGATCAACACCTTCTATACAGCTTAGTAATACTGGGGAAATTTGCAATAGTAAAGGAAATAACATGTGATTACATTAAACAATCATAGGAAACATGTATACTTAGGTAGCATGCAATTCATAAGCAGCTACAATTGTTTGATTTTGTTTTAATTTTCAGGCCGTATGGATTTTGAACCAACAGAAGGAAAATACCTAGCATACCCAAACAACAGAGAAATCATATTGTTAGACTGTGAAACTTGGAGTCAAAGGATGACATTCACACATAATTTAGCAAGTATCTTAATTTGTTTTGTTGTTTTTTTAGTTTATTGTGTTTATTAGGGGAAATTTAACAATTATACATTACAATAAATATCAAAACATCTAATAAATGTATAACCAACGTCATTCCACACAATTGTTCTCTCTTAATCATTACTAATGTACAAAAACAACTTAAACCTTTATAACATACAGGGTCTTGTATAGACACAGTCAGAATATGCTTTATCTCAGAACAATTTTATAATAATTTACATAGTGTTCAAACCTTACTGTACTATGCTAATATCCGGTGTAGTGTTCAACGATGATGGGAAGTGCAATAGTAATCACTTAAACATTTTCTTTTAGATAAAATGTGCAATCTCTCAATGTGTATTTTCCCCATGCGGGCAATATCTGGCTGGGAGCACAGTCGCTGGTCAGGTTGCAGTGTGGGAGATTGGTTCCGGGGTGTGTATTGACATCACCACACATCCTACATCACATAATGTTTCAGCTATGGCATGGAACCCTAAAGGTAAGTTATTTCTACAACAGAGTAAGTTAAAGTATTTATTTCAATTAAACCATATTTTGATACTTTTGAAACATCAACAAATACAAAATAAATAATAGTCTGTCAGTCAGTCCGTCAGTGAAGCTAAGTGAAGCTAGGTGCTCATTCCAAAATGTAGATTCGGATGGAGAAGAACGAGCAAGAAACTCCATTTGTTACTCTTTTTGTTTTAATAATAGTACTTAAATATTTTTTTATTTAATATTACTAGTATTTATAGTTTTGCTAGCCACTACTGTACTAATAATTTAAATTTTCATAGAACATTATACCTTTTATTCCCTAATGGAATAGGTAGAGATGCAGATCACACATTGTATGATTTGTAGGAGTTAAAATTTTTAATTATTTACAACTAGTATAAATAAAAATTATACAATTGACTATTTTAGAGTCAAATGACTGGAGACTCATAAATTCAGGGTCTAGTAATGTCTACTAACTCGGTAAATAATAGTGTTATACAACATTTGCAATGACCTGAATAAATAATGAGCGAACCTAACGATTACCTAGTATGATGTAGGCTTTGTGTTGCTTATCAGGCTGGTATTTATATTGTAGCCTAGACACAAAACCAGACTTTAAGACTGAACATATTCTATTAACTAAAAATCTTGAGAAAAGCTCAAGCTTTCTCAGTATTTTCTCGTGAGTAACCCACGATTTTTAGTTAATTTAGTATGTATAACGATAGTTATTATAAAATCTGAACATATTCTGCATAATATAATGACAAGATAACTTATTTATTAGACTCGTTGGCCAAGTGGTCGCAAGTGCGACTGCCGGGCGAGAGGTCTCGGGTTCGATTCCCGGATCGGACAAAGTAACTACAACAGGGTTATCAACTTATCGTAACCAGACATCAGGTACTGACTGTTAAATGTTAAAAAATTAACTTTGTATAAGTTTATTTTTCCCATATTTTTAAGCGACTTCATTAAGGAAAATGGTAGTTAGAAATGAATAACATAATTGATTATATTGTACTTGTGTAACATTACCGAAAATGAACACTTAGATAATTTTTACTTCACATAATTCTACAAACTGTACTTTCACACTTTGACACATTAAACGGATAACTGCGAATATTAATTAATCAATTCACTGTCCATTATTAACGCTTCAATTAAGGTGACAAAACCGTTATACGAAGTACCAGTAGCAATGGCATTCGATTCATTGCATGCGTCGACTAGGTCTAGGCATTAATGGTATGATGATCAAGACTAAGTTTAGGTCTATGTGTGCTACAATGTCTATCCATTAAGTTTACCTATTAGCTCGTTCTTTTGGCTGTGTCATTATAGCTGCAGCTCAAATGCCAGTCTCGGTCTCGGTTACCGGGTCAACAAAAGTGCTATTGAGCTTTTCGTTTCTGAACATTCTCAGTATTAGTACAGAATTTATGGATATTATAACAAACCCGTGTGTGCCAATAACTGGCACTAAATACCTATTATTGTATGAAGCCTCTGGTATAATTATTATGAACATTGCAGGCAATGGCGTACTAGCATACGTTGATGTCATGGGTCAACTAGGTATGTTGGTCAACTGCTACGGAAAGGACAGTAATGCAGCTACTGAAGATAATACTGACGATGTCGAAATGATCGAGAGGGTGGATGGTAAGGATAAACATGTAAATTATACTCTAATACATACATGCATGTGTACTCTAGGTCAAGGATAAGTAGATTCTTCAGTCACTGTATTAGATGTGACAACTTTTCCTGTTTTTAACCTTCAGTTTTTTCAACATTTTGTTTCCTAGTCATGCCTACAGCCACTATGTATGAATAGTTGCTTGTATTGTCTTCGGGAAAGTTGTTATGAGTACTCTACTATTACTATTTTCCTGAATTGCGGTCAGTTTTACCCTAATTATGTCTTGAAGTTTCCCAGTTATAAGGAAACATGTAGGTCTATGTACATTATCTTCCAAATAACAATAATTTATTTCCTGTAGACAATGACGACATCGTAGATGACTTAATAGAGAATTATGAGAGTGACGATGACAATGCAATATCTTTGCAAAAGATTAAGAATGAAACATTGGGGCTTGTGGAGCAGGATGAGTCTAGGCCGGCCTCGCGACGTAATGCTACTCCAGTGCCATCTACGGTACCACCTCAAGCACCGTTTCAACCCTCATCCACTCCAACTCATTTGGAACACAGGTAAATCACATTTTTGCACTTGTTTAACTATTTTTTTTTTCACCCTTTTGGGCGTAAGTTTCAATATGTTCCTTACTCGTAGGTACATGTGTTGGAACGATATCGGCATAGTTCGCTGCCACACTGCCGAGAATGGAGAGTCGACGATAGATGTAGAGTTTCATGACACGAACTTGCATCACGGCATACACTTGAACAACTACTTGAACCATACAATGGCCAGTTTGTCTTCTACTGTGGTAGCATTAGCCTGTGAAACGCCGAGGTGAGTACGATACTTTTAATTTATATTCTATCAGTTTCTTTTTACTTTTTTTCACTTTTTGATGGTTATATGTAGATTTCGTTTTGTTCTATGTTTAGATTTTCCAGGAGTTGTACATTTTATAAATGTATGCATAGCTTGATCATAAGTAAACATTCTTTTGTGTGTGTGGCAGTAAGTTGGTCTGCATATCGCTGGTGGGCAGCAGCAAGGAGTGGAGTGTGAGTATGTCGGACACGGAGGAGGTACTGTGTGTGGCGGCCGCCAGCCATGTAGTGGCGTGCGCTACCAACGCCAGGCTACTGAGGCTCTACACGCCCATGGGCACACAGAGACAGGTGCGGCTACTAAAATAGCTATCCCAAAAATCTATAGTCAAATAGTAAAAATGTATTTCATCATATACATAAATTGTGTCATATCATCTTTTTGCACGATCCGGAAACCGGATCCAAGATTTCGTAGTGAACTGTCATGCTTACGACAAACGTAATGTTGAGTCGGTATTGTAAATGTTATCTGGATTGCATCGATGACGATGAAAATGCTTATCATTTTAACGATTCTTTCATTTCGTACTATCAGTGACGTAGGTGCTATTTATACCATACATTCTACATAAATACTTGAAGCAAGTTGGAGTTGATAAATACAGATAAATTATTTGTGTGGGATAGATAAATCTACACACACCTACTTTCGAAAGTTATCCTTTGAAATGTAAAACGTGAAATCGATCTTCAGGTGATATCACTGGCTGGCCCAGTGGTATGTCTGGGAGCGTTCAACACGGCTGTAATGGCCGTGTACCATAGCACAGACCCTGGACCCTCAGACCAGCATCTAGCCATGGACATTGTTGCCTTAAATGGTGAGTCAATGTTTTAATCAAGCAATTATCGTAAACAATTACGCTTAGGTACAATTTCCGTCTATTTTTTTTATGCAATATGTTATATCATAGAAGAGGTGAGCCTATTTCTAAAACCAGAATCGTCTCTATTTCAGGTCGCCAAGTTCGAAGCAAAACAGTCCCTGTACCTTTAACACCAAGTTCTAAACTTGCATGGCTTGGTACCAGTGACGTTGGATCACCTTGTGCGTACGACAACACGGGAATGTTACGAATGTATGACGTCAGTAGCGGCGTGTGGATGCCTTTATGTGATACCAGCACACATTCTAGAGGAGCTTCTGACTCCTGGTTCATTGTTTCAGTGAGTAATATTAATTATTATTGTTTTGACATTTGGAGTACTTTAACCTAACTATTATCAGTTATTAAAAACATTTTTCTTTTCACAAGCAACCTAGCAGCGGCCCTATCTTTTGGCAGAATACAATATTTTGATTGAACTTATAAACTTGATTTTTTTCTAATAGCGACTACATACAGTTCTCTTTGTAACCCGTGTACTATGTAGGATCAATTTGAACTTTATATTGGTGCTTTCGCAGGTAAGTGAAGCGACACAAAAAGTCCGTGCAATACTTTGTAGAGGTGCGTCGTTCCCAGCTACTGCGCCCAAACCTATTATTGCAGAATTAGCCATTCAGGTACGTAAATGAAAAAAATACTAATCAAAATTTTTAGTATTATTTATAAATTTTAATAAAAAAAAACTTAAAAAAACATTATTGTAATAGCTAATTTTATGTTTTAGATACCTCTCTGTGAAATGGATACTGAAAAGAGTCAGTATGAAGAACAACTTGTACGATGGGCACATACAACTGCAGATGTCGACGTAAAAACTGCACGAGAGACTGCACTAAAATTATTTGCTGTAAGTACTTATTATACAAGCTCTTCAACAATATGCACCAAAAGTACGCAAACACGCGCAATTACACATTACATCAAAATATTTGTCAAAACATGTTTACGAAGTTTACAGCGATATATTCTATGAAATATAACCCTGTGACGATGAAGTGCAAGTAAATAGAAACATACATAATGGGTTTGTTTAAAATTTCCAGCTTGCGTGTCGCAGTGAGATCGAACAACGCGCATTAGAACTAATGGAGTTGTTGAAAGACGACCGATTGCTGCCTTTAGCGGCGAAGTATGCTTCACGACTTGGCCGAGTGCACTTAGCGGATAAGTTGGGCAACTTGGCAGAAACTTGGGAAAAAGAGGCAGACAAACTGAATGTTGCCCAAACCTCGCACTTCCAGGAGTTGGACACGCAAGAGACTTATGACGTCACAAATACTGAACAGGATTTAAACGCCAGTCTGATTATACCGCAGAAAGTCAAGGAGAAAAAGGTTGATGCTGATACTTCACTAAGACCAGTTGTAAGTACTTTTAATTGGTTTAATAACATAACATCACGCCTTTTATCCCCGAAGGGGTAGGCAGAGGTGCACACAGAAGTAACACCCACTTTTCACTATTTATGTTATGAGTCCCATGTAATAGGGGGTGAGTTTAATTTGTTTAATGTAAGTGATATTAGCTTCTAAACCTTTACTTATCTTAATTGCATTGCTTGCTATCTAGTTCTGCAGCTCTAAACATGATTTTTTCTTGGTTTATTAAAAGTATTTTCTTTGTTTTTTTTTTCAGCCTATAAAATCGTCGCCCGGTAGAGCGCGCAATATTTTCAAAAAGAAGTCAACTAAGTCTAATGCTGCGCAAAGCCCTCTGAGTCTAACTGATAGGACTCTAGTGGAGGTTCATAAACCTACTGAAAATTCTGAAAACAATGACGTACGTATCATACATACGTAAAATTGTTGCATTTTAGAGGCTTGGTTATGCTAGCTAGATAATGCTAGATTTGTAGGGCCAATCACCTATGATTAATAAAGGTCATAATTGTGCAAAAACATGTTTTTAAAGTTGTTATTATTGAAAGTTTGTGGTCACTTGATCACTGATTGTCTTATTATTCTGATTATATTTATCATTCAATACAGTGTGTTTAGTAATAAATAGTTCAGTCATATTGTCATATCGTAGGCAGCTTGGGTATTAATTCGAATAAGTTTTTTATTTCGGATTTACGATTGCGAGTTAGTCTATTATTTACTGGGCATCCTGTATATTCAATCAGCTGTGCAAGTGTGTACATAATAATTATTTTGAAATAAACAGCATGACTTAGACAATGTATACATGACCAGTGTCATTCATATTCGTGAAAGTAGTCGCGCTTTTATAAAGGAGATAATTTTGTTGTGATATTAAATCGGCCATTACCTTTACAGCCTTCAGCACCACTGGAAGGTGAAACGTTCGTAGACTGGTTCACAAGAAACAAATCTATTCTGGAAACACAAAACCCAGAATTAGGACCATCAGAGTTAACACGACACGGAATCAAAATATTCAAGACTGTCCAGGGGAAAGCGACCAATAATACGGAGAATGGACCAAAGAGGAAATTAGATGAAGATAGCTCCGGTACGGAAACTCCCGTCACCAACACTCCCAAACAGTCGAAACTTAGTGCCTTCGCATTTCAAAAGAAATCATAGTTTTTAAGCAGTTTTAATCATGTAAGTAGCATAAGTATTATATAATTTTAGAAATAAAAATCTTATTTATGAATTACTTGATTTTATTAATTTGTTCTACAGAACATAAATATTGTCATTTATTACAATAAATGACAATATTTATGTTCTGTAGAATTTATTACAATAAATGACAATATTTATTGACCAATGTCTATTCTGATCCTGAATTAAGATTTCGTATCAAGGACGATAGTCCTATAGTTAAATGACGCCATTTTAAACCATAACATCACGCCTTTTAAGGTGCACATTATACCACTGTATAAAGTAACACCCACTTTTCACTATTTATGTTATGAGTCCCATGTAATAGGGGGTGAGCCTATTGCCATATACCGGGCACCATTCCAGACTCCGTGCTACTACTGAGATTTTTTTTTTAAAACCCAGTAATACTTTGCCCGACCCGGGAATCGAACCCGAGACCCCTTGCCCGGCAGTCGCAATTGCGACCACTCGGCCAACGAGGCAGTCCATTTTAAACCATTTTCTATAAATGCTTAATATTATGGATGGGTCCCTAGCAACATTATAGTTCTCATTAAAACAGAACTAGATCGTTGCTATGCACGTGCGTTTTGCAACAGGTCAGAGGTGACTGTCCTCGTAATAGCGTGGCGCTTAATTTAGCGCTATATATCACACAACTGATTAGGGTTCGCCGTATCTATGATATAAACAAACCTCGAAATGTCAATATTTTCGAATATTATCAATAACAACTTTATTCATTTGTTTATATAAGATAGTAATGGGTCAGCCGCTGGGTATATTATGTGTATGCAAAGATAAGCCAACATTACTATATTATATTAAGTAATAATAAAATTAATTGCATGCAGATTTACTTTGTTCCCACGAGACCCTTTTGGTCAAAACATCTATTTGCTACGCAAATAAGTATCAAACAATAGATAAATGAATTACGTACAAACAATAATATTGTTCTATACAGGTTACTAGATCCTGTACTGAATTTATGTCGATAATTCTAGTTAAATCATGTCTGCTATATGCATAATATTTAGGTAATAAGGTACTTGTAGTAGCTTCTTCTTCCATAGGAAAAAAATGTGGAACACCATTATTCCAGCATATCCTTTCTTATATCTATTAGTTTCCGTAAAACATGGAAATAACATAATCCATTATGTCGTCATGGATATGTTGTTGCAAAACCACATAATGGAATAAAAGTCTACTTCCTTGTAACGACGACTAATTAGTTTAATTAATGACAGTTTAAGCTAAATAACGGCATTTCATAATACTCTTTCCCTCATAACTAGTGACATAAGCGGGCAACCCCAACTATACCTAGATTTAGTCATAGAAATAACTAATTAGAATGAATATAGGTAAATGTATCTATATCCCTATAGCATACGAGTAAACCTATTGTAGGTAATTAGAGATGCTTTTACAACAAGAAAACCAAACTAAGTTATTAGGTATTACAAATTTTAAATTTTTATGGTTTTGGTGTATTCGGGTACCTAATGACTGAACGGTAGGTATAGAATCGCTTCGTTTTTCGGGAGGAGCATAGCGAAAACACGTGAGTACAAAGATACTTATCTTTCTATTCACTTGAATACCATCACAATAATTTATAAATAAAGCTATAACAATATTTAATAACAAATATAGGTAAGATAAGTTGCATATTATGTGTTATCTGTGAAAACAAAAAATAAAATAAACACGAAATTGAATCACACTGCGCTATTTGATAGAATTTAGGTAGGTACATAAGTGCCGTGCTTATGTAAATGCAAGTATTCTTTAATAAGTATAATTTGCCATCACATAGGTAATGGAATTGGCGGTATGGAGAAGGCTGATATTAATACTGGCCAAATACTTTTGCTACCCAACTTAACACGGAACGTAATCAACTACCTAGGTATTAAAGGCTGATTTGTGCTGGGATTTGCTAATTGATTCCTACTAATTGTAGCATAATTCTATCGCCTAGCCTTCATCGATAAACGCACTATCCAACACAAAAATAATAATTCAAATCATAGACATAATATTCAAACCATACCAGTAGTTCCAAGATTAGCGCGCTGAAACACAAATAAACTCATCAGCTTTATACATAGTAATAGAAGGTATAGGATTGATGTATTTGTAGGTGTAGAGGCTAATTGTAATTATAAAAAATAATAAGTAAGTAGTACAAATATTTTATCACAATACTGCGCATACCAGGATATCAAATCAATAACAAAATAACTCATAGGTATCAAGAGTTAAAATTGCAAGTCATACCTACCTGCCCACCTGAATAGTGGCACGTCATCATAAAACAGATACTTGGATTGATAATGATGATCTATTTTACAGTATCATTGTGTGATGACATCACGCATCATTCAATTTTCATAAACGTATCATCATTGTGACTATGACGTAGTTGGTATTGCACAACGTTTACTTATTATGATTGCACGGTTGGCGCGGTGGCACGGCAGTGGGCAACTGACTGCTGCGCAACGTATCAACGTAACCCTCAATCCACAGATTGTTGTTCCTGGTCATGTGTATGTGAACTTGTATGTTTGTAAATGCAACCACGACCCAGAAGAAAATACTAGTGTGGTGCAACGTTTTAAACAAAAAGAACGTGTTGGTGTGTACTTAGTATTGGTGACGGATCAACTCGGCGCATTCTAATTCGCAATTGATTGAACAGATTACATGCTATTCTGTAACTGTGTCGCGGAGAACCTAACGGGTAACCGGGGCTCCGGCTCGACGTGCAGGAGAAGGAACGGGGTGGTTTTTAGTCAGTAAGACTCTGACACTCCCTTCCGCCTCACCCAGGCGGGAGCAGTCATTCGATGATTTTCCCCCCTTAAAAAAAAAAAAATTCTGTAACTGTCAATTCAAATGTTCAAAGTGAACTCGATCACATTCTCACCCGTCATCAGTCAAGATTATTATCACAACCAATGACCTGACGGACTGCGATCGAGTTCACTTTCTAAACAATTTATGTACCACACTAAACTTGGAATGGTATAGCATAGGTATGTACCGTGAAAACGAGACATCTTAGACACTTGTTTTTTTTTTATTTGTACAATGCTCTTTATAGATAGCTGTGTAGTTCGACTCAATAACTAATTTAATTATTGTTTCTCCGGACATTGCACCTTCATCTGTCTACATTCCATCCATAATCAATTTCAATTCGAACGATAAGGTAAAGTTAATGAATAACATAATTGATTTGATCCAATAGCTCTTTGTTGTCCTAAAAAGTCCATTGCTCCCATCTTATTCCATCACAAAGCGTAAAACAAAACAAACCACGGAATAATAGGGGAGCCCACGATGCTAAATTTGGATTTCACGAGTACACGAGCGTCGTCGTTGGGACCTACTGGATTTTGAAGATATGCTGATAGAAAGTCTTCCACTGGTGGAGAAGGGGGAATCCACAGATCTTTGAAATTGTTACGCGTAACATGAGCATGCTACAACACGTGAACAGTTTGCATGATGGGGTTGAATGTTCTGGACAGTACAAACGAGAACCCTCCAAAATCCCCCTTGCAAATCAAACTCGAAAGGGCAGATTTTTTAACCACACTTTCTTTAGCATATTATTGACCTCTTTTCCCTTAATCTGACGAAGCTGATTTTATTTAGTCAGATTTTTTTTGTCCCCCCCTTCTAATCACATCCGATATAATATGGTGGGTATATTCAACATGACACCAAGTTTTCCCCATATGACGCGCAGTAACTTCCGAAATCCCTTCATGGGCTTTCCTGCTACTGCTGGACTGACTGGTAAACAACGGCTTGGAATTCTGAACAATTCCTTGTGTGATCTACAAATTGTTCTTTTGTGTCTGAGTGTTATGTGTATGTGAATAATAATATACGTTAGTAAAGGCACCCATGGGCCACAACGCACATAATAAGAACTGTTTTGTAAAAAAGAAGGTTTTAATATTTGTAATTCATTTATTTTTCATGTTGCGATACAATTTATTACGAAAGTTAAACGTTGACCAATTCAGCTTCATCAGGCGGTGCGAAGAGTCCATCCTTGATCATTTGGCGCCACTCACTGCCATTTGGATACGCAAACTTGTCCAATATTCCTGGTAAGAATTCCGTGCTGTAGCCCGGTAGCTGAAATTAAAAATAGGATTAATAGTCATCATCGTTGATATGGACTGGCCGCTAAAGACCAAGTGCAAAGTTATGATTATTAAGATTTTGTCAAGTACATGGGGTCGAAGCCAGAATTTTAACTTTCAGAACTTTGTAGAAGGAACTTTGTACTACTTATACGATTTTCGATTTGTAGACGAACCCGAAAAGCATGATTTCACAAGCCGAAATGTAATCAATAGTCGTAGATAACACCATTTAAAGTTAAACACATTCTGTGGTACTATACCTTAGGTGCGAGGTACTTAGCGTTCTCAACAATGCATGGGTCGACGAAATGTTCGTGTTGTTGGTCGACGTACTCGATGAGTCGGTCCTGCATGGTGGCGGAGACGCTGGCGAAGTCCCAGTACTGCAGGTGTTGCACCATCTCACATAAACCAACTCCACCCGCGTGAGGACACACCTTCACTGAAAATGAAGATACAAATCTTTAGTTTTCAAGTTTTGAAGAGAAATATGTAGATTATCGCCATAATTATTGAACGACATATCAGAAGTTATTATGAATATTAATAATCAGTAAAACTACTAATCTTAAAAATTGCATTCATTTACAGTCCCTACTCACTTTCTTTACTTATGAATTAGCTATATACTAGGTACTTTTTAGAAATCAAGATTTTGTCCTTGTGTATACATAAGTTCTAAAAACCTAGATTTTAAGTATTTTCATCTTAATTATTATAAATATTAACTTTATATGTACCTTTAAGTTTTTCAGCCATGAGATAGACAGAGAGTATCTCATTAACTCCGCCGATACGTGCCGAGTCTATCTGACAGTACTGCATGCCCCCGCTCTGGAGGAACTGCTTGAACATGACGCGGTTGGCACACATCTCGCCCGTCGCCACGCCTATGTTATACGGCCTGTAAAATGTAACATAAATATAATACTTTGTATTTGTTTACGCTGTCTAAGTAGCGACATTTCCATATTACTGAGAAGTTCTTGAGAATACCGGAAAACCCTGGTAACAGTTTGCCGACCCGGGGATCAAATTGTAGACCAGAGCAACCGCACTTATGACCGTAAACGAGGTCTTACGAGGGTCAGCCTTTGAATTGAATCTAAACTACTCACGCCAATGCTTTTGAAATAGCAGCGTGTCCCAGTACATCGTCGGGTGAGGTAGGCTCCTCAATCCACATCGGTTTGAGAGGTGCCAGCTTCTTCATCCACTCTATAGCTTCGTTCACACTCCACGCTTGATTGGCGTCTACCATCTGAAATATGAACATTCTAAGATGTTGACTTACTTATATGATACCTATATATGTACATACATAAATACTATGCTAGGTAAGTATTAAAATATTCTGGGATAATGATTCCGGTAAATCACTGAATCACTATTTTTATACAAATCAGAGGTTGTAAATATACCCACTATTATCTGTCTACCAAGTGCATTGTAGAAAATTGTAAAAACGAACTTTCTTAGACTTTTTTTTAAGGGGGGAAAATCATCGAATGACTTTTCCCGCCTGGGTGAGGCGGGAGGGAGTGTCAGACTCTTACTGACTAAAAACCACCACGTTTCTTCTCCTGCACTTAGCCCCGAGCCCCGGTAACCCGTTAGGTTCACCGCGGCAACTTTCCTAGACTTAAGATAACTAAAGTGATTGATTTGTACTCACCAAAACATTATCAGGACCGATGCACTTGCGCACAGCGCTACATCTTCTGTAGTCGTCATCGAAGTTGACTCCAACTTTGACCTTGAAGTATTTGAAACCAAGCTTCAGATACTTCTCACACAGAGACTGGACGAGCTCGTCGCTGTAGCCTAACCAACCTGTAATTAAGAATAGAAAAATGAGGTTCACTTAAAGCAATGTGTTGATATTGTGCTAATTTACTCGTAGGTAGTTACCTAAAAACACATCTTCTCTTTAATTATCTATGAGGTAGGAAAAGATGCAGATATGCAATGTTACATCAATAACATCCACTTTTCAACCAATTACCTATATTACGAGTCTCTAGCAACAGGGGGTGAACCACAGAACATGTAAACCTACTTTAAATGTTCTGTGGGGTGAACCTATGCAAATAAACTTTCTTATTCTTATTCTATTTCCACACACTGGGTATAAATGGTATTCTAGGCCAGAGCTATAAGGTACCTACTAAGAAACTTTTGAAAAACTGAAAAAAGCTATCACTATTAGTTAGTTAGTTTTATAAGGGGGGAAAATCATCGAATGACTTCTACCGCTTGGGTTGGCGAGAGGGAGTGTCAGACTCTTACTGACTAAAAACCATCCCGTTCCTACTCCTGCTCTTCGAGCTGAAGCCCCGGCAACCTACCTTACATTATGTTGATGTATGACATTGTATTTTTACTTACATCGTATTTTTTTATGAAAACTGCAAGTTCTAAAAACGTTAACATCCCTAAGAATCGAACCCGAGATACCTTGTTGCGCTTGTGGCCATATATAGGTGTACTCTGTTTGCACCTACCATATCACATAGGTACTGAGTCTACTCTGTTTGCACCTACCCATTCATATATTATAGGTAATAACAAAATACTTACCGACTTGTGTAGTATACGCGGGATATCCATGCTCCATAAGATACTTGACCCTCTCCTGTTTGCCAGCCTGCTTGTCCTTCAACATTTTGATTGCTTCTTCCTTCGTTATCACGTCCGTAATATAACGGAAGTCTATCGTCGATACCAATTCCTGTAATTTCAGTACCATTGTGTTAGTCACAAGACGTCCAGGTCCACTGCTCAACATAGACCTCGATAGAAAAGTCTTAGGTACGGCCTACTGTCCACGTTGTTATTAAACGAATGGATGTAATATTCGTTAAAAACTACAGGCGCATTTAACTTTGCCGCTTCGTGAACAGCTTTCATTGTTTCCAAGCAAGATGCAAGCATTTGTCATTTGTAAGCCGCCTATTGTTTGTGAAGGATACATGCATTCGTCAAACTCAAATGACACAACTTGGACAGTTAGGTACCCTTAGTTATAGTTAACATAAAAATGAGAGATTTTATGTTACTTAATGAATGATCTGTTGGCTATCCTAGATATACCATCTCAGAAGATTGACGACATTTTCGACATTTTCATTTCATTAGACAATTATCCACTATAGTAGGTACTTTAGTGGATAATTGTCTACCAAACCAAGATTATCTACCTACGCTTCGACAAAATAAATCACAATCTGTACTTTGTATTAACCTTAATCAGTTAATCTTTTTTTAAATTAATTACATTGTTAAATCGATCAATGCCTTCGGTACACTTGCACACAGAAATTTATTATAAATACCAAACTTATCTAAAATTGAAATACCTAGCACCTCTTAAGTACGTAAATAAAAATATTATCGACTTAATTAAACATACCTCTGGTTCCATGTCGACTAGAAGCCTCCAAAGCGGTTTGTTTTCCAGGCGAGCCCACAGATCCCACAAGGAGTTCAGTATAGCTGCCGCAGCCAAGTGAGCCACGCCCTTCTCAGGTCCAATCTAGAAGTTAGGGTAAAACAAGTCATTTAATAAATAAAAAATTAAAACAACTGATATAGTTAGGTAAATACCCAATTGTGCATGAAGTGCCAACTATGCAATTGAGATTTCCAGAATGGTACCTAGTTGTTTTTACTCCTTAGAGCCCTGTAGTTTGACCATGATAACGACAAAAATTAGTCGGCAGGTAGTGATAGATTTTTAATATATATAACATCACGCCTTTTATCCCCGAAGGGGTAGGCAAAAACGGTAGGGTTGAACATCTAGGGCTCAGCGCGAAGATGTGGTATACCACATCAACCAGATTCAAGTAAGAAATAACCAAACAATATCCAGGTATTGTTTGTTATTGTTACTTTTGCCTTGAACCCAGATTCATGGTAAAAGTTAAAATAGAGAACACTAAACCAAAATAGTTATTTAAAAAGCATCTACATAACTTAATAGGTAGGCACATTTCTTTGTGGTAACTACTTACCCATCGCATTTGCGAGTCATTGGTAATAGTTCGCCAGAAGCCTGCGAAGTCAGCGAAGATATCTGCAGCATTCTTACCAATGATAAACTTTTTCATAGACCTGATGCAGAGCACTATGATCTCGGTGCCCCGCCCACAAGTGAACGTCAAACCAAACCCTTGCTTGCCATTCGCTGTGCTAGTAGTAACGTAGGCACACGAGTAGTTTGGGTCAGTATGCTGGAAAAAACATTTGAATAGATTTTTTTTATAATACCAAGTTAGTGGAAGTTTCTTTAGGTAGGTTTTTATTTATCATATTTACAATAAGTACAGGATTAGGTATCCATTTAAAATAGCAACCTAAATCCACTAAGGTTTAAACTTGTGCTGTCATTAATCAATCTCTAAATCGATTTTTTATAAATAGAGGTTTTACGAATATATACGTTAATGACGCTAACAACCTAGGATAAACAAACACATTTCTAAATAATACTTATGTAATATTGCTTTAGTTTACATTTTATGTTCTTTGGCGTAATATTATTTTTTATTTCTGAGGGTAAGCTATTAATAAGTCTGGGTACAATATAAGCGGTAGTTAAGTTTACCTGCCTTACAAATACATTTGTTTGTCTATTGTTGCATAACTAATGAGGTATGCTGGCTGTAAAAAAATGCAGGTACACACTCAATTTCATAAGGGTTCTAATATACATATTTCTATTTAAGGAATAAATTATCTATAAACCGAATATTGTTAACCTGCTACTTACTACACCACATAAGAATACCCTTCTTAAAATATTTGTTGTAATTAACGTCTAAAATCACAATGTTTCCAACACGTAACATACGGTGTTTACTTAATGTACTTCAAATTACGTCATTAAAATAATACAAAAACTGTCTTACCAAGGCGTCGGATCCGTGAGAACCTAAGGAAGTAGGAAACCTGACATCCTTGACGTCAATGTTGACAATCTCCAAGCCTCTTCGGTCGGGAACGGGCATTTTGTACAAGTTCTACTGGCGACAACAGCCAACTGGACGGATAACCCCGGCACAGAGTCACAACTTGCTATTTAGTTATCACTTGAATAGTATTCATGTTGTTTTCTTTGAGATAAATAACGGGAATGTTTATTTAGATTTGCTTCTCGATTTCAAACTTTAACTGCATGCTAGAAGGTTGAAATTCACATGTCATCGTAAATGATAACTAATAGTTTTAATGTTGTGTTACATAATGTAATTATCTTCGAACTATGCATATTTGGTATTGTACTTAACAGAAAACATGATAAAAAAAAAACAAACAAGATAATTTAATGTTTACACCTTCTCTGTGGAAGTACCTACTTATTCCAATTTTGTTTGTTAATTAGGCGCTGACGGTGAATAAATACGTATTTATGTTGTTAAAACTTTTGTCTCCGCCAGTTGGTTTGGCCACCGATTTACTTATCATTATCAAATTAGGTACCTAAGAGATAAAAAATAAGACTAAATAACAAAACACTCCAAGAAACGTTTCATAAAATGTATTTCAATTTCTCTTATACAAATCTTTAGACAAAAATATGTTTTTAAACCGCAAGGTCTCTGTTTTTACAATAAACACTCTTTGTTTTTATAATTCTGTGACTAGATCAAAAGTAGTTTTAATTAAAATGTTTATTGGTATATTTTTTTAGAATAATTTGGTCTTCCTTATTACTTATTTAATAAATGCATCAGATGCATTATTGAGCTTATTTACAATATTAATTATATTATTAAATCACGCTCGTCAATTATTACACTTTTTACTGTTTCCCGTAAACCTATTCTAATAAAAATTATTTAAAAATATATTATTTTTCATATACTTTTATATGGTTAATATTTCGCTTGAATAGCGAAATTTATGATATCAAATGGAATGACTTACAGAAGTTCTTCAGAATGATTAAAAAACTGTTTCTTGTCTTTTCTTTCTGAAAGGAAAGGCACAATAATCACTTAGGCCTCATTTGTGAAATCACTACGCTACCATCTATCTCAGACGTATCGTCATTTTATAACTGCTGGACCACTAACAAGGATGGGCCATCAAGGTATTGTATATAAGAATACCGATATTCATTTAACAAATAGTAGTGTTTCCAGTCGTTTTATAAGTATTTTGAAAGCAGCCTCCGCTCACTGCCGAATTCGTAAATGAGCCCCTAAAACTAACCTAGTGCATTGCACAATGTGATGTATTTTTATCTTACACAATAACATAATATGTCATCAGTTTACAGTCAAGTAGAAGTTTACTTATGTATAACTTATAAAAAACTTGCGAAGTAAAATCTCAAGTTTGGATAGGAAATATCCTAATTTTATAAATAAAATCAAGCACCTATCATTTCAATACAACATACGTGTGTGGCACACAATTATAAAAGAGATAAGAGTAAAGGATTATATAAAATAGTCATACAGGGTGGAAACGCTCCTGAAACGCTGACAAAAAGAAATTGTTTTTACAATTTTAATAGTTTTTGTGTTGAGAGTCGTGGTAGCCTGGAGGAAGACGACAGCTTCTTATGCATGAGGGTGTGGCTTCGAAACCTACCAACAGCAAGTACCAATGTGACATTTTCCGAGTTATATGTACTTTCTAAGATTATAAGGACACCACTGACAAATAGTGAAGGAAAACATCATGAGGAAACCTAAGCTTATAATTTTTAATTATAAGTTTGAAATTTGCCGCCGTCACCGTCGCCGCTTCAATTAATGCTCAAAATGATTAATGTTTTCCGTGTGAGAAGAGGCCTTTGGTCAACAGTGGCCACTTATAGGCTGTTGATGTTCAGTCGTTTTTGTTTTCGTATTATTCATGCAATATCAGCCTTGAGCAGTTGATTACAACTGTCATAATAAAAGAACCATTTAATTCCTTACTTTTATGAAAATAAAACTTATTTTTACCACCTGTAGTCGGTTTTCAGAAGCGTTCCATTTACACCGTGTAAGTTTACAATTAGCACCTCACTCTATACATAAGCCTTTTTATGAAACTTATTTAACTAGCAATTCTATTGAGCCTGTCAAGTTCATTTTGTTAGAGACATGTTAGAGAAATCAAGTAGGTAATTAAAATTAAATCTATAGTGTAATAAGAAATAAAATGAATATTATTACAAATGTTGCATATTGAATGAATATGATGGCTTCTAAACAGGTTTATGATTGCCAGTTTGTATTGATGTGGAAGTAACTATTATATACAGATAGTAACAAGTATAAAACTAACAAATCTATGATTCCAGATCTTTCTTGATTTCAATTCTAACATATCTTTGGATTTTGATTAAACCTCATTTCTTTTTACTCTTCTTGTATATGGTGGAGAGGTCTTTGACAATGCTTCGCTCTCCTTCTCGCCACAGCAATGTAGCTAGTTGTCCAAGTGTTGCTTCATCCTCGTTGTTCACCCACTCCAATAGTAGCTTGTACCGAGCCTGTAACAAGTTAAATGCTACGATTCAGTTCAATTTTTACAACACATATAACTCAGATATAACTGTAAGATATAATCAACATGTATAGTACAGTAGATAAGTATAACCAATTTTGATACAAATGAGTATGTTTATAATAAAATTATCAGGTTTATTTGTAAAATAAAATACATTATAAATTTTATATCTCCCATTATTACATAAATGGAAATATGATATCTACACTACATTTCACCAGGCAGACATCTTGACACAGATATCATTTAGAACATTTCAAGATATCATTACTAACCAAATTCGCAAGTCATGTCACGTCTGCTAGAATCTACCCAGAAAGTAAAGATAAGGTGAAATTAATATTGATAAATTTCATCACAAATAACTTGATTATCAGCACTTAGTTTATCTACTAAAGTCACTATACATTTAAGATATTTATAATGTATTGTTTATATGCAATACATCTATTAAATATTATAATTACGTACAATAGCAATTGGGTACTTTCCTTAAACCAAAATAAATTATTTCAATAAAATATTAAAAAAATAATCACACTTTCATTAATTGATTTTATGTCCAACTTAATTTTAGTATTTTTCCAGCATTTATATATTGTTATTCCGCCCATTGTTATTTATATATTTTTAATAAGTATGCTGTTTGACGCTAAAAACGTGACGTCACACACAATCTTGTACAAAATTCATAGAAAACCGTCGTTTTTCACAGTTCGATAAAAGTATTGAATTTGACTAGTTGGCAAGTACCCAATTTGCATCTACTTCAAAAACATTTTATCAGTGGCCTAAGGACTAATCCTTAGTCCAGTAGTCTTGTCTCTCAAGGATACTTTCAACATTCACTATGTACAAAGTGGTACTACTTACCTCACTTATACTGTAACCACGGTTTACTGCATCTAGTTCGGCAGTATCAATTCTTCCCTCCGTGTAACCAAGTGTCCTGAAGAAACTCTTCCATGTTTTGCCAAGATTTTTTGATATGTAATCCAAGTAGTCATGGTTAGGCTGTTAAATAACATGTACAATGTTAATTTAAAAGACATACAAATTCTATTATTTATCTTTTATCATCAAGAGATAGGGACTCTACTGAACTACTTTTGGCCTCCGATTAATAAGCCATAATTTTTATACTTAGTAAGCAGATTAGAGATTCAGTCTAAAAATTTTAGGTTTAGAAGAAAGTATTGCTTCTGTTAAGTGTGTAGTTTTAAATAAATTAGTCTTCCAATGGAATTTGTAAAATGTATCTCTAATGTAACAATGCGGCATATATATACATAATAATTTTGTTGTCACCAATCTCAACTCAGATCTAGGATGCAAATCATAGCAGTTTCAATTTTCAATGTCTGCAAACTCCATATTATTATGGGATTTGCAAGTATTACTGTAGTAAGTTTTTATCATTGATATTGAGACATGGTATTATGAATGTAAGTAATCTTATCTCTTTGAAAAATTGAAAATAGTCACTATAACTTGGGAGTTAAAGGTTAGATTGCTAGCAATCATAACTTTCGAATACATATCAGCATTTCACCAAAACCGCTTTAAACCAGATAGGCAAACTGTATGTAACTAGTTTCTTAGATAAAATATTTAGTGCAACATATCTGTTTCATTAAGGCTAAGGCCCTACTAGCTTTTTCACTTGAGTAGTTCATAGTTATTTCGGTCACTGCAAAGAGCTTTTGACACAGGAACCACATTAATGAATAAATTGCAATTACAATTTCACGCAACTGCAGTTACTTAAATTCGTTTTCTTGTTTCATAAGTGACTCACTCAGGATATTAAGAGATTATATTAATAAACATAAAAAACTCTGTTGTCCTACATAACATAAAATAATAAGTATGTAATCTAATTGAGTCAATGAAGCATAATATTATTGTGCACAACAGATGGCGCTAATGTTGTATAATTCAGGTACTATTAGTCCAATCCGTGTAGCTATCTGAATACTAGGAAAGTCTAGTTTGACACTAGGAAATTCTCTATCGGACAAACAGGACATCATGCTATATTAGTGCTAAGAATGTGAGACACTTAAACTGTCAAACACCAAGCCGTCACCAGTGACCACAACCTATTGTTCTTTAATTGTGTCTATAAATACGGTACTCAACGAGTTCATTAAATTCTATAAAACACTCACCCGTATTGTAGCTTCCATAAGCATTCGAATATAATTATCTTTCTTAATAGGTTCCTCTTCATAGTCTTTCCCTTTGTCAGTCTTGTTGCCCATTGTGGTGACTGGACCAAAATAGTAATCATTTCCCAATCTAACTCCACGAGAATTGACTATGTTGTAACAGACAGTTCCACTAGCTAAAATAACAAATAATAAATTAAAATAAAAATCGTGGATGGAGCATCAGCATGGTAACTACATGAGGTTTTATTATGTATAGCAAATTAAATTCTTAATGTCTGATTATGAAAAATCCACAACATTTGTCCATCAACCATCCAAAGTTGTCTCTAACCATAGGAAATAAGGTCTATAATAGTGTAAGTGAAGAGCAGTCACCAGTGACTTCTTGGATCTGGACCAGTTTGTGTAATGAAAACTAACAAGACTAATAATTCATAACTGCCAGTTTACCTGAAGCACACAGTATAAAACTGTTGCTAAAACTACAAAAATTAATTTGTCTTTAGCTACATGGCACTCATGTTTTATTCTTAAGATACAAATGACTCATATAATAATCATCAGTGTCGCACTTTAATTCATACAATAATAAAATGGCCACTTATCATGAGTAGTTGAATGTGACTGGATATAGCATGCATCAGACACTTACTTTGAACATTTACTGAACTAGCGCTGCCGCGTTTTTCTTCATATGACTTTGAATACTCTTCCTCATCGTCTGTGAGTGGTTTCTTCGATTTGCTTGTCTTTTTTTTCTTATTAGACTTCTTTTCTTTTTTTATTTCATTATCGTCGTCAGATATTGACTCTATAATGATTTCTTCCTCCTGTTCTTCCTCATGGTCCCCATTCAAATTGTTCTCATCAGGTTGAGACGGTGGTGGTACCGTCTCTGCTGATGACCTTGGAGCCCTCGGAACTGCATCCGATTTCAACCCCTTAAACATCTCCAGAAGCTTCGATACTTTTAAGTTTATTGGAGACATATTTGCAATAAAATTAATTTTAAATTATTTATAATAACACAAAGACCTTTCCTTTTTCCTTATCATCAAACATGGATGTTCATGTCCTCAATTAAAGTTAACTTTTATTTACTTGAAACTTCACACCAATAAATAAGTTTTCAACGAATATTACACTGTATAGCGTTACCTAAATAATTTATTAACAATAAACGAACTTTTTTAATACCAAATAAATATTTGCAAACTTGCGAAAATTATGCACTTCGTCTTTCACAAACAAATTTGAAGTTTCGAAGTATTCAGTGTTGCTATCGCAAGGATGCTGCATTCATATAATTTTCGTTTAGGCTATTGAGATATTGTCATATATTTTAAATTTACCATAATAGACAAGAACTAACTCAGTACTCATGATAATAAAATTATTTTTTGTAGTAATTTGATTACTTTATCAGAATTTCTCATTCGCGTCCTAAACAAAATAAACACGGTCGCTTACTTTGGTCACACCGTTAATTACTCATCATTCATGATTCATGTCATCAAAACTGTTATCTCGCTCGCACTCGCTCGGTTGCTTTGCGTAGCGGTAATGTTTTTTTTTTGTTTGAGATGTGAAGGACATCATCTTCTGTTTCAATGAATAACATGTTTTTCCCCGTTTTTAAAACAGAATATTATTGTCAGGTTTATGGGTATGTACACCACACTCACAGAATGGGGTTTCCCTTTTCTATCAATTTTTTAATTACCTGTTTTAGTGATCTGAGTAAATCAATTACGGAAATAAAAAAATATAGGTAATTAAGAAATAGGTAGGTAAATGAACACGCACACAATAAAAGGTATGGATAAAATACCTTAAAATTGGTACCTAAAGCTAAACTTACCAGATTTTGTAATAGACAGATAGATACAATAGATAAGTAGGTAAGGTTACGTATTGATAGACATAAAAAATAATTACCTATCGTTAGGTACAGATAGGAAAGCTTTTTTGACCCCAGAAGGAGAAACGTACATAAGTGCGTGTAAGCCTAGGTAGAGCACATGCTAAGCTAGATGTAGCACCCCTAACACCCATTTTTCATTAGATACTTTTTAAGTAGTTTAATGGTAGGTAGGCGTCCATCTTGTTTAACCTATCCTATTAAAATTCAGGAATAGCAACCTCTGTACGTCCATAGGTTATGATAGGTTCGCTCTACCGGCACTGCTACCGGGCACCGGTGATGTTAGACACACATAATTACATTAGGTACGTTACCTACTTATGTAGGTTTAGAATTAGATAGAGACCTAACTTCTAAAAAATGTGAGTCCTGTTTAATGTCACGTTTGTATTGCATCAGCTATTGTTAAGTATTGGTACATGACGACACGGCAAATAAAGAGATCGTATCGTATTACGGACCAGATTCCATTTTTAAAACAAAGTCTAATTTGACATTTGAGCTCAATGTCAGCGCTACCTCAAAATTTTACCTTTGCTTACTTTACTTTTTTATAAAAATGGATAAAAAGGATTGTGACTCAAAGTTTTCCTTGTTATCGTTGTTTAATTTATTTAAATTAGGTCTTTTTGATACCATTTACGCTAAAGGTCCAGCTAGTGAAATACACTCTCCTCGAAAAGAACATTGGCAGAATTGTGGATCACCACGAAAATCTTCCTCAAAAGATTCATCTGCATGTTCCACGGTTGGAGTCCAAAAAGATCCTTGTGCCGATAAATCTGCCGGTGGTGATGCACCCTTCAACAAAGTATGCAAATGTAAGGGACCTGATGGCAAGAATACAGCTGGTGACCGAGGCAAAACTGGAGCAGGAGTAACGGGTTCCAGGGCGGGACGGACTTGTGAGAAGGAATCTGACAATCTACCGGCGGGTGCAATCAATCCAGGGCTTCTGCGGCATATTCATAACGCAGCTCGATATAGATTACCGCAATGTTTCGAAGGAGGCTGTGTATCTTTAAAACATAGTTCGAAATCCAACTGGGTGTTTGGTCATTCTCTTTCATTCAGTTCAGTGTCGCCAGGAGGTTATAAGGTGCTGTTGTCATACGTAGATAAGGAAAAACCAACTTCGTTGCCTTACTTTGTAATGGAAGCAGCGCCCGGTGGCCAAATGAGCTGTGAGATGCGGGTAGGCCCCACTCTAGGCACGAGGGCGACAGTGGTTGCGCAGATAGCTGACGGAGAATTCTATAGTTTCGAGAGCATCATGGATGCCTACTGTAACAGGTTTACTGCATCTATAATCGCTGTGAACAGAGAGTTTATTGCACTCCATTATCTTCAGGTAAACTTTATTTCATTATTTCTTAACCTACGTACCTCAGTAGTTCAGTACTACTTCCAAAAGAAAAACCTTAACCATGCATTATGCACAATAGCATCAAACATCGGCCAGTGGCTTTGTCCACGTTCCTGGGACAAAAGTGCCCCATGTGCTATTCACCAATTCCATAATAATAATAATAATAAGCCCGCAGGGCACCTTGAGGCGAGGTGACGGGCATTAGCGATCCCGCGGGCTACCATCATCCCGAGTGCTCCAGGGAGAAGTCACCGTTCCTTCTTCTTCGGCTTGCCTTAATTGGCTGGCTGGAGTGAACGATGACAAGGAACAGGTCTCCCACCTCTGGCTTGCCTTCATTGGCCGTCCAGAGTGGAGTCGCGAGAGCAGTGATCCTGCTCGGAGGGTAAGAAACTATTCGTAAGTCGCGAGTGGGCCAGGGATGCAGGAGGCTTCGGCTGGAGCAGATGATCTGAGTAGAAAGCGGTGGTAGTTTCTTAACCCTTCAGCCACTCACATTCTCGTTGCCCCTCTGTTGCTATATCTAGCAACCATTCCCGGGGCCCGGTCGGTGAGTTGGCGAGTCTCCGCCTGCCATTTTTACGTGTAAAAATTACATTGTTTCGGCAGGTGCCATAGTCATCCATAGTTCCTAATTTACCAGTCCACAGCAACCCATCCATAGCCCTACCTTTTTTTTTCCATTATCCACAATAGTCCTACACTAACCGGGGACTGTCCTTGGGTGCATTTCCATAGAGCATACAGGGATAGTCGCCGGTTTGTGTGTCCATTACATTTATATTAAAGTTGTCTAAAGGGCCTCTGCGCAGTTGGCTTCGGCCCCTCGTACGCCTCCCAAATGACCGGGACCCTGTGGTCCCGTGAATGGTAAAGACATACAATAATAATAATAATAATTCTTTATTTGCTCAATGTGGTACATGATATAGATGTTACATACAATATATTTAGATCAGCACATTTACCATTATTGGCATGCAAATTGGGTACATTTAATCTTTACTGTAGATTAAAATAAAATACATGAAGGCTACAATTTTGGTTCATAAACTAAGTACACTTACTGCTCTTATTTATTTCTTTCTTTAAAACTAAAAGATTTACATTTGTTTTTTTCTAAAGATTCGTGGATTGAGTAGTAATTTTCTTTAATTAGCCATTGCTTTAATACATTACAAAATTTCTTATACGGAAGTTCAGTTATAGATTTAGGCAACGTATTATAAATTAGAGGAGCCATATAAACACAATTCCGTCTAAATAACTCCAATCTAGGTGAAGGCACTTGAAGAAGTACGCATGTTGCTTTTCTCTTATTTACATTATCTTTAACTTGAAAAAGCGAAGGATTGGTTCTTATGAATTTAGCAATTTCATAAATATAAATGGACGGGACAGTTAACAGCTTATTAGACTGAAATACAGGCCTACAGGATTCAGACCATTTCAAATTAAATATTGCCCGAATGCATTTTTTCTGCGCTATAAACACTCTAGAAATATCCGTAGAATTTCCCCAAACAATTATTCCATAACGAATTATTGAACAAACATACGCATGGTAAACAAGAATAGCCGTACACCTTGATGTAACGTCTTTAACCTTTCTCAAAGCAAAGATAAACTGAACTGAAACTCCATACCATAAATAATCTATCTTTATTTGGTAATTTTAAATAACGTAAGTAGGTACTTACACAACACAATATCTTTTGCGAAAAATAGGTTTACAAATAGCACTTCGCCGATTCTGTAAGGCTATCCTGTAACTGTCAATTTGAACTTTCGATATGTGCTCGGTTGTATTCTCGCTCGTCATCGATTCGAGATTATTTTCACAACCAATGTTATAGCGGCCCGCTATCGTGTTCATTTCGATCTTTCGAATTGAAACTTACAGAATAGCCTAGCTGATTTGATTTAAATAATGACTTTTATTTTTGCAGGCAGTGACTGATCAGCTGTCGCTGGGTGCGGAGGTCGTGGCTCGCGGACAGTCCGCGGAGCTGAGCTCGGCGTCGGGCGCCGGCCGCTGGGTCACCGAGAATCACTCCATCAGTGCAACACTCGGCAACAGAGGCTTAGATCTTTGTTACGCAAGAGATATCAAACCCTTCCTCACAGTTGCTGCAATGCTTGAGGTGAAAATTGTTAACTTGATAAATCATGGAAATCCCTATACGTACTATTTACATTATTTAAACAGGCCTCGTGTCTTTGTTCACGTCAATTTATAGCTAGGTACGCAATGTTACGGGGTAAGACTAAGATGACCTAAATAATCTAGTAAATAGAAACATGTAGTTTGTTCTCTACTGCCAGTACAACAAACAACGGTTTAACTATACGTGCGTTTCTGCTACGCACGCCCGTATATACCATGGCAGCATTGGCAGCCATGCATAATAATACGCTTTCCAACAGTTCAGTTTTTTCGCCGGTATATTTGTGTCACAATATCTGTGTCCCGCCAAACATTTAGATCTGTTTTATAAAGTACTAGCGACCCGGCCCGGCTTCGCACGGGTGCAATATGCATGTTTTATACATTAAAACCGTGCTAAAGATAACCGTATCGAAATCCGTTGCGTAGTTTTAAAGATCTAAGCATACAGACGGCGGATAGCGACTTTGTTTTATACTATGTAGTGATGATATTGTGTTTTCAGGTGGGATTCGCAATCCGACGTGCGGTAGCAACACTAGCCTATGAGTGGCATACAGAAGAGTGGACGGTGCGAGGCTCGGCAGACTCCGACGGACTAGTGGGAGCCACGCTGCAGAGGTCACTCGGAGGGAAGAGGGCACAACTTGCTTGCGCCATATCAGCACTCCTCAACCATCCTAACGATAAGTTCAGGCTCGGGTTCGGGATCACTGCCGCGATTATTTAGAGCTTAGCAACCATTGTATCTAAGTAGTGCGCTACGGAGACTGCCTTTTTTAAAGGGGAAAATCATCCAATGACTCCTCCCACCAGGGTGACCCGAAGGCCAGTGTCGGACTCTTATTGACTAAAAGCTACCCTGTTCCTACTTCTGCTCTCCGAGCCGGGGGCGCAGTAACCCATTAAGTCTTCCGCGGCTCCTGCTCTCTAGGCTGCTCACTAAATAAGTATGATACCTACTATTTAAATGTAACTCACCCTATTTGCACCGTTTTCCCGTCTAAAACAGATGGACGGAAACACATGATAATTTAGTGAGATTTCGATTTATTTTGTGCATATTTAGTGGATAGTCCATGGTAGTAGTCTCGCGATATTATTGGGTTCATTTACTTTTTCGAGTATTGAGAAATCTGATTAAGTTTGTAAAGGTTTCATATTGTGATGTATTGTAGCCATGTAGGTCCCAGTAACGTTATGGTGTGTAAGCCTATGTATGTTGTACTGTTTTAGCGTCTTTTATTGTCATCATGTTAGTTCTCGGTAAAAATACATGCTTACTTATGTATTTTTATTTGGTTCTTGCAATTCTTTTACCTCTGTATAAATTGTTTTTAAAGTACCTATTTCTGAGCCGATTTTTCAATCAACAGATAATTCTTATCTGTAGAATAAAATTAACATTTGACAGTTTTAATATATATGGAAGAATTGTCAAATAAATATTCAAAAATTAGTCCTCCGATAAAATTTATCTGGTGTTGGAAAAATCAGCCATCGTTGTTTTGATTTGTTTTAGCAATTTAATCGAAACAGAACATATGAAATACTTATAGATATTTACTTAATATTGGTATTATAATATTTATATTGTTTGTAGTAAATAGGTTTTATTTCCAAATGACGTGTTTTTATTTGGCTCATCAATGTTTCAGCTACCTTTAAATAATATAAGTACCTACTTATAGATTCTACACACGTCTTTGTAAATATTTTTTTGAATATCCTTTTTTAAGGTGTTTGATGTACTTATTTACCAATATACACTTTCATGATGCAAATACAACGATTATTTTGATTTTTGTTCGATAAAGGTTTAAACCTCACCCCTTTAACTGCAGATCATCCAGATGACTCGCGTTTATTACTTCGAAGTCACGAAACATTCACAGGTTGTCCTCACAATTTAATAATGCACACAAACACTAGAAAACACTATTAAAAATTCATTTTCAATGTAACGATAATGTAGGCGTGTATTATCCGCCGTCGGGTGCGTCAGTGCATCGCGGCGGCAACGCGTTGGGCGGGCGCCTGCGCGACTTCTGGGCGGAGTTTCAATCGCCGCCCTAACTCTGCACGCATACAATAATGGACTTTACATCGTAAAAATAAAGTGTTATTTGATGTAAATAGGTGTTAAGTTTGGAAGTGTGGGCGTAGGGTGCTCCACTGCTGCAGTGTGTATTCCGTAGAGCGTGTCACGCGAGGCGAGCGCGCGGCGCCGCGTGTCGGCGGCAGTAATGGTGATGGAGCGGCTGGCGGACTTCGTGAGCAAGTCGCTGGAGGGTGGCGAGGCGCCGGCGCCGCCGCCCGAGCCCGGCGACGCGGACGATGCCGACGACGTGGAGGTGGACATCACGGAGCTGGAAGACAAGGCGCCGCCGCCCAAGCGCCCGCGGAACTGGCTGCTGTCGCCCGTGCCCGCGCACCACTGCAAGCGGGAGCAACCGCCCGACGACGATGATGACCACAGGCATGGTGAGTCACCAGGTTATTCTGTATCGAGAAGACAGTGGTTTTACACCAAAAGGTACTTAATCTAAATCAATCACCATACTACCTCATCCACGTTTCACATTGTGCTTAAAGTTGTGATTATTCTATATGGATAAGGTACTTGCTTACTTTAAATTTTAAGAGAATAAATCTTTAAGACAAGTCCTATCCTACTCTTAAGTATTTTATGGCAGTTTGCAGTATGCTTTTAAGAAGAAAATTAAATCAGATGAATATAGAATACATTTGTGTCAGCTTGGAGTTGTCATGATCAATCAAAGGTCTCATTGGCGGTGTACGTGCAATAGATCACTCGATTCCCTACAATATGGTTGAGTTGGGCGGTACTGGTGGTGCATGTTCATGAACAGGCGCTCTCAACTGGGACTAGTCAACTCCAAACTGTATTATTTAATTGTTCTTAAACTGTCAAACACCGCGAGGACACCGGTGTCCGCACACCTATTGTTCTTTAATTGTGTCTATAATGACGGTACTCAAAGGGTTATTTTCTTTTTCTATATCTTTGACTGGAATTGGACATTGATGTTACATTATTCTCACATAATTGAACTAACTAAACAATGTAAGTAACTGTATTGATCTGATTGAAAAAAAGAGTAACCTATAGAGTCTTTTGCTCGTTTTCTCCGTATGAATTTACACGTTGGAACGAGCAAAAAGCTTCACTAATGTACAAACAAACACTTTTAAAATTTTGGTTTGACGTCCAAAAGTGCCTTTCTGTTTCACATAGAAGATACCTTTAGTCCTTCGTAGATTACCTTGAAACTATTAAGGTATCTAACGACACTGTTTCACTATTGTTACACATTACTGTGTCACATAACTCGGCTGAAAAAACTTGTGAACACGAAGGCAATTACAATACTTCAAGCCACTATTATGAACATTTTAAGTAACCTTGGTCCTCGACAGGCGTAAACTGTAGTCTTTCTAGCGATCTACTAATAATATATGCATGTACCCATATTATAATCAGCATACCTAAACATTGACTGCTGCATAATGGCCGTCTTCTTTAAACCACATTGGTTTGTCATAATCCCACCGTTTGACAGGTCACTAAATATTAATTTAGAGGTAGGCAACTATATAATGGCATTACTTTAGGATATACTTGAGTATTAGACGTTGAAGTTTATTTTCTTTGAGGGGGAATACCATCCTTTGGCTTCTTCCCGCCTTGGGTGAGGCGAGAGGGAGTGTCAGACTCTTACTGACTAAAACTAAGGCCGTTCCTACTTCTGCTCTTCGAGCCGGAGCCCCGACAACCCGTTAAGTCCTCCGCAGCTCTGTATCCGCATCAGCCCTACTGGGCCCCATCAGTGGACTGATAGCTCTTTGAGGCGAATGCGGAACGCGACGCGCGGTACGTTTTGAGTTTGGTGCACATGACATATGATACAATGGTTTAAAGTTGCCGTTTTAACGCGTGATTTGGTAATATCAAACAATAAATAAACATTTAATTTATCATTTCGTTTGATTTACTTTACCTATGCTGGTTATCCATGCTGAAGGGTAGTCGGGGTAATAGAATTTATTTTGATAAATAAGTATGAGTCACAGACAAAAAGTGAGTATTACGGTTCAAAAGCTACATGTACAGCTTAAACGATTAATTAATTCGGAAATATAATGTTCATTTAACATCACACTTTATTATTTTCCGAAGTCCAACCTTTAAGTGAAAGATTGTGGTGTTACTTTTAAATTACTTCTTAGATAGTCTCCATTGGATCTTCTAGAAAAGATGTATCCTCCTCTAATTTGCCTTTAAAAATATAAATGTTATAATCAATTTTACTCTTTAGAAGTCCTTTGCCACTGGCATCAAAAATTGTCCCTCATTTAATTTTCGTGCATGCATAATACATTTTTTTAATCGGAAGCTAAGCAGTTTCCAACCTTGTCTAACCTATGCAACTTGTAGGACCTTAGTACTTTATTACCATTTATATGGGCTCGCTCCATCTGGAAAGTACTGCTATAGAATACCAGCATCAACTGTGACGTAATATTGCCGTGTTTCATCTGGTAAGTAAAAGTTCTAAATGTCCTGAACCTGACGTTTGATCACATCATTACAACATGGACTTTGAAACGTTTTTGTATTGCTGGTATACAAACTGGACTTTGCCTACGGTGACTTACCCACACCATTAGGAAGGTCATTATTATATTATAGTATAACTATTAGGTACTTACCAATATAATAAATAATTGAAAATGCCTGCTGTCTTTTAGCTCGAAAATCTATACCAGTAACTGCAAGTGTGAATTTGGACCTATTTTCTTATGATCAATGATTAAATGAATAGTATGATTATATATAATAAAAGGTCTAAAAGAACCTTCAATATTTTGGTATTACTTACATACTCAAATATTCAATATGATATCGTAACAACAAACTTTGATTTACAACTGCCATGGATGTGTTCTTCTCTACTGTTCTGAGGGATACAAATTACAATAGTCCTTTGTTTGTTAAGTTACCAGGTTTACCCAGGTTTGAGGGGCATAAAGTATATATTTTATCGTACTCTTGTTCACTAACGTAAAAAGTTATCATATTGTAGACTAACTGTTGCCCGTGCCTTGGTCCGCGTAGAATATGAATTGTTGAACACAACTTTTCTGTTTCAATTTTCAACAGTAGCCTATGTTGTTTCTTAGTACATCAGCTACCTGTCAATAAATGTCTTATAAAATCGGTCAAGCCATTCCAGAGATTAGCCAGTACAAACAGATAGACAGGCAAAAATTGTAAAAAAATGTTATTTTGGTATGTATATCGTATATATATTCATTTGCATGTTTGCTACATGTATATGAAAACGGTTATTTTAATATTACAAACTGACCGCCCAATTTTATTTATTTCTATAGGTTTTTTAAACACCTAATACTGTCTAATCTCTGTTACACGAACAAGTAAAAAAAGGCAATTATAGTAATCTAATCCTAAAGATATAAACGTACAACTTTCAATAAAATTAAGTTCGCCTGTCTGTAATTGATTACACCTAAAAGCGTAATTTTTAAACGATCATTAATTATATTAAAGCGCGGATTAGCGCCGAACAGAGTGAGAGAAGAAAGCTCGGAATGGATATCCGTGAAAGAGTTCTCAATCAAATAAATCAGACCCTCGACGACTGTAACGGGGGTTATAGTTAGGTAGCGCTGTACAATTAATCA